GCCCGGCTGGCATGGTTCAGTGGTTGAGCATCAACCTATGAACCAATAGGTCACTTTTCAATTCCCAGTCAGGGCACATGCCTGGTTGCTGGCTCGATCCCAGTACGGGGCATGCAGAAGGCAGTCAGCTGATGATTCTCTTTCATCTTTGATATTTCTCTCTCCCACCTCTCTTCCTCCCTCCCTCCCTCCCTCCCTCCCTCTCTGAAATCAATAAAAATATTTTATTTTTTAAAAAGATAGGAACCTTCACCTTAGGACATTCAGAACAGTAACTTCAAGGTAGAGCTTAAGCGTGTCCTTTCTCTGGGGAAACAGGATTGGAATTTTGCCTCAAGGTGATAAGTAACGTGACATGGCAGAAGGACGGATTCTCTGAAACCTTTATTTTAAAAGGGCAGTGTGGGGTGCAGACCGAGACAGGCCAGCGGGGTCGTATGGAGCCCTGTTTCCAGGAGGGATTATTTAATGAGGGGAGGTAGTTCCTAATCTAAAACCAGGGCCTGGGGAAGTTGAGGAACCTGTGGGAGCTGCCTTTTCTAGAGCTGGAATGTTCGTTCGCAGCTCCTGCAGCTGAGGGAGGCTGGGCAGGGACGGATGGGAGGGGCCGGGGCTCCCCATCCTCAGGAAAATGGGTTCTCCATCAGCATCTGCCCCCCAAGTCCCTCCTGGGTCAGAGGAGCAGAGAGGGAGATCCGTGTCCGGTTTAAGATCCCCCACCCCCGGTGCTCTCAGTCACTAGGGGTTTAATGTGCTTTTCACTTGCTCTGTGGACTGGGGCAAGTGTTTGGGTCAGATTTGGTCACGTGGGTTTAAGAGGAACTAATAATTCAGCCCAGTTCCAGCCTCTTCCCTGCACAGACACACACACACACACTTGCACATACATGCACACATACACAGTGTATGCAACTTGCGTGCTGGCATAGAACTCTGATGAGGCCTCACTTCCGTGGTAAGGGGACATGCCCGGTCAGAGAGGGGTCATTACTGGACATCCTGTTTCTCCTCTCAGGGCCCTCTTCTCTTGGGCCTTGTCTCTGCCAAGGTCTGATGTGCCGGAGGGCTTTTCCCAGGGCTTGGGGAATGCAGATCCTCAGCCAGGTCAGCCCCAGCGAGTACCCCTGGGGAGGAGCCTGAGGGCCACCACAGCTAGCTGCCCCACGGGGACCTGGGTTTGACCCCTGACTGCTGACCTCAGCCGCAGGCTTGCAGGTCTGTGGAGCATACAGGCCCGGTCTGACCCAGAGTGACCCTGGGCGGTCTGGGGAGCAGTGACCCGAGGGACCTGAAGCAGGGGCCACGGGGACCGCTGCACTCCCAACGGGAAAGTGGGCCTCAGGGCAGGACTTGGGCGGGAAGTCCAGTTGCTCCGTCTCATTGGGAGAGTCTCCTTCCTCTGCTCAGAAAGGTCTTTACTGCATAGATCGCTGCTCTTTCTCCTCGCAAATGTGGGTCTTTGGGGTTACGGGTTACATCGGGCCTTATGGGCCGGCATGGGCGCCATATCACCCTTTGCCACACAAGTGATTGGCGAGTGGGGCCTTGCTAGCTCCCGGCTAGAAGCACTGCAGTGTGTTTCTGGGTGAAGGTCGCCTTCAAGGCTGCAGCCCAGCCCAGGCTCCGAGCCCTCGGGCCTGGCAGGACTGTGCCAGCCTGCGGGCATCGGACAAGCCAGGGCGGTGCTTTCATCGTGGGCACTAAAGGCTAAGCCCTCAAGCATCCTGTACTTCCCTGTGTGACGCTGCGGAACATGACAACAGCCCGGTCCTCGCCAGGGAGGGCCTCTAAGCAGGCGAGCGGCCTAACCACAACTGCACTGGTGAAAAGATCCCACTGGTGAGCCCAGCCCGTGTGGGTCAGTGGTTAGTGTCGTTCCATGCACCAAGAGGTCACTGGTTCCATTCCCGGTCAGGGCACATGTCCGGGTTGGGACCTTGATCTCCAGCGGGCTGGGGCTAGTGGGGGAAGGTGGGGTGGGAGGGGGTGTGCAGAAGGCAGCCAGTCAATGTGGATGTTTCTCTCTCCTCAGTGTTTCTACCTCCCTCTCCGTTTCCCTCCCTCTCTCTCTAAAATGAATAAAAGCCTCTTTTTTTTTTTTTTTTTTTTTTTTTTTTTAGAGAAAGAGTGGGTGAGCAGAGACTGCCACCCGCCAGACTGCTGCACGAGTTCAGGGAGGGTGGGCGGCGGCGTGGGCAGGGATGGGGGCTGAGCAGATGGGGGGAGAGCCGGGCCTGATGGCCGGTGGGCTGTGAGGGGCACGGGAAGCAAGCTGAGCTTGGTGTCCACGTCCCTGGTGCTCTTGACGTGATAGCAAAGTCATCCGCTGGAGGAAGGAGCCCGGGAAAGGCCACGAAGCCCGCCCGTCCCAGCTGCCGGTTCGAGCGCGTTCTTAAAATACCCGGCGTTGGCAGAGCGGAAGTCTGTGTGGGAAGAGTCACGGGGCACGTCTTATTCCCCCAAGAGCGGTATTTATTTTGAAATCCATGGTTTATGCATCTTTAGAGAGGTCTCTTGGTTATCATTTTTTTCCATTTGCAACATTCTATGCCCTGGAAAACTCCCAGTAAAGGAACACATCACCAGATCGGAAGAAGCCATGCCGTGATGGCACTTCCCCGTGTACGGCTAAGAACGCGGGGCTGTTTGACACTGACATTTGGAGGTGCATCTTTCCATCTGAATTATTAAACTGCCAGCCGGTTCCTGCACACCAGCCTCCGGCGCCTCCCTGGCTTTTGCTCTCTGTTTGTCTACCCAACAGCACACAGACCAGGACACGGTCCGCATCGCTCTAAACCATGGTGGAGGCGCACGGAAGATGACAATAGTCGGAAGGGAACTCGTGTAAACACACGATGGCATGACATTGGCGGAATCCATCCGAAAACACGTGTCCCCGGGCCTTAGGGCCCAGGCCTGTTGGAGTCAGGCTGTGGGAAGCGCAGACACTCGCACTGTACCCTTCCCTCAAAGCAGAGCGGAAGGGCTTCTGTGTGGGAAAACGGGACAGGAGGCCTTTGGCCAGGGGTTAGCGCTCACACCGGTCCAACGTGAGACTTTGAAAGTGCGGGGAGCGTTCCGAGGGCGTTCTGGCGGGTGCTGCCGCCGTCTCCCCGACCCGGCCCGGCCCGGGTGTCCGGCCGCCGGAGGGACAGAGGCTTCTCCTGGCCTGCTTTCGGCTCCTTCGTCCCTGGTGGCTGCTGCCCCACAGCCTGGAAGGCTTGTTTGTCCCCGTGGACCAGGAATTCGGAAGGGCTGGGCAGTCCGGGGTGGGTGTGTGAGAGACGGAGGGACAGGCCGTTGTGACCCAGAGCCAGCGTGTTTGCTTTCCCTGCCGACCCCCCTCTCCCGTCCTCGCCCGCTGCTCCCGGGAGGGGGGCTGGTGGGCATCCGGAGCCGTGACCCTGGTGGGGATCGTGCAGAACGCCCCGTGGCCCCTGTGGCTCTTCCTGCCCCCGCAACTGCAAAAATAAGGACGAGAGTAAACATTCGGGGCCGGGTTTATTTTGGTGAGGCGAGTTCCAGTCTGGTTTCTAAAATTAGGACTTCTGCGGGATGCATGCGGTCCGAGGCGCCCTGCCAGAACTCTGCCTCGGGGGTGGGCAGTTCTCCTCCTTGTTGTTTGCGACTGTGCATCCGAACCCTCTCTCACGGCCATCCATCCGGCCGTCCCTCCGGCCGGCTATCCGCGCACACCCACTGCCCGGGTAGGCAGCTGCTATCCCGCGCATTGTGGTAGGCTCCCGCCCCCTCCCACACCAGCGTGACCCCCACTTACAATAGATGAGGATCGACCTGCCTCCTGTCCTTCCTACACTGACGGACAAGCCTTCTGAGAGAATAGCTCTCCCCCTGCCCCTGTCCCTCCTCAGAGCGCTCACTGACACCCCCTCCCTGCTTCATGCTAAAGCCTCCCCCCTCCCCCCACCCGCCTCTGGTCTCACCTGGCGGGACCCCCTCTGCCACTCACAGTGGCCTCCTCGCTGCCCCTCACACTCCCTGGCTGCTATCTTGCCTCCGTAACTTTCCATTTTTTTTGGATGTGTCCCTCCAGCGCCCTCCGTCGGTCCATCCCTCTGGCTCAGTGTGGTCCCACTTCCCCTGGGGGACCGCCCTGCCCAAGGGGAGCCTGGACCAAGCGCGGTGGGGGTTTGCCGGCATCGGGGGCCGGTTGTCTCTGTGCCTCGGTGTCCAGAGCAGAGGACACAGGCGGGAAACACTTATGTGTAGCCCTCTCTTCCCGCATCAGTTTTGCCCCCGAGGGAGCTGTCCCGGCTCTCACAGGCTGCCCTCCCAGCATGCTTCCTGGGCTGGACGTTCTCCTCCACCCAGACTCAGTCGGCTCTTTCGAGAAGGCAGCCGGGCTGCTGTGCCCCTGCCCCTGCGCCCGGGGCTGTGTGGGAGGGGGTGGGGATGGCATCCACGGGCTGCCTTCATCGGCCTTCTTGGGTGGAACAGGGATAGGCAGGGCCAGTGGCAAAGCCCTCTTTCCTCCCTGACCCCCCTCCCCCTTCCCCACACGTGGTTTAACGCTCTGCTGTTTCCACCTTAAAATTCTTACTTTTTGAACAAGCGGGCCTGCGTTTGCCATTTTGCGTCAGGGCCTTGCAAAGTATGTGTCTGGTCCTGGTGCTGACAGACGGGGGAGGGTGGGGAGCGTGGCAGAGGGAGTGCGGGGCGGTGTGTGTGGAGGCCTGTGGGGGGTGGGTACCAGACAGGAGGAGAGGGGGAGGTCATGCACCCCTCCTGTAGGGGCGCTAGTTCTCCGAAGCTGGGAGAGTGCTCAGGTGGGGCGCTCCTTAGCACCTGACTCTGGCCCCAAGCAGCCTTATTTCATTGCTGTTGGAAGCCTGCCATGTGTGAGGCCCTGCTCCAGCAACTTTCCTGTCTCAATCAGAGGAAACCCCGAGTCCTTCTAGTGGCCTGGAGGCCCTGCCTGACCTAGCCCTTGACCCCTGACCTCCTCCTACCACTGTTACCACAATTACTGTGTTGCAGCTACCCTAGCCTCCTGACTGTTCTGGACATGCCCAGAATGGCCCAGCCTGAGGGATGGGGTTAGGGTTAGGGTTAGGGTTAGGGGGTGCTGTCTTCACTAAGGATGGCAGGGAGCTGAAATCTGGGTTCCGCAGAGCAGGGGCCTGGCCCTCTGTGGGTGGCACAGGTTCAAGGACGAGGACAGCTTGCTGTGGGCAGGAGGGTCCCCAGGCACGCGGTGCTGACTGGGCTGAGTGCTCTCTCAAGAATCTCAGGAACCGCTTCTTTGTAGAGCATCAGTCATGGTCACGGTCCTGCTTCCTTTCACTCATTCATGTAGTCCGTGAACATCTGCTGGCACAGGCCTGCTGTGCACCAGGTGCTTCTGGGACTCGGGGACACACACGTGAACAAGGCGGGTTCCAAGCCCGTGTCCCTGGAGCCCCCCGTCCAGAGCTTGTCCCGAAGCACACGCCAAGGTGCAGGCGCGGGGCCGTGTCTGATCCGCTCCACCTGGCGTGACCACGGACACTGTCCCACGTGTCTTCCTCACGGCCGTCTCTCAGGGCAGCGCAGGATTCCACCCCGTGGCCATGCCCTGATGCCCGTGACCGTGTCTGCTCCCTGCACATCCGGGCTGTTTGCTCTTTGGCACCTCACTCCCCCGCTTCTCACACAGATGGTTCCCGTTGCAAGTGCCGGCAGCGTGTGTGTGTGTGTGTGTGTGTGTGTGTGTGCATGGGCCTGTGCCATCAGAGCCTTACCGCCGCCGTTGGCTGCAGACTCTTATTTTTAATCGTTTCTGCTCGCTTCATAGATACAAAACCGCCCTCGTTGTTTAAACATGCGTTTATTTGATGAGTGTTAAATTTTAACCTTTACTTCCTCCCAAGTGCGCTGCCTGTTTGCATCCTTTGTTCCGTTACCCTGGGCTCTCGAGGTGAAAAACAGGCCCTGGGTCATGATCCTTACCAGCTCCGCTTCTCGGCTCGCCCATAGCTGGTTTCTATCTTCTCGGCTGCGCAGGAGTGGTGTGATCTCGGGCACCAAGGTCTGGGGGAGTGCCAGGGTGAGGAAGGGTATTCCCGGAGGAGGGGCTCCAGAGGAGAGCCGGGCGGCCTGGGGACGTTCAGGGCGCCGTGGATGGACAGCCACTGTGTCCGGTTCCATCTCACAGGGCTGCTGGGAATATCATTGGTTCATTTTGGAGTTTTGAAGTGAAGGCAGGTGGCGCAAAACCTCATATTCACGGTTGCTCCCTGGAAATAAAGCTCCAACCCCACAGAGTGCTTAAGGGGGGGAGGCAGGAAGAGGTGTGAGGTGGCTGGGAGCCCTGCAGTCACGTGGCTTTGGCTTTGAACCCAGCACTCGTGCTGCGTAGTTGTATGCATTCTGAGTTTCTGTCTTCCCATCAAAAGATGGTCACGTCTAGCCAATGTGGCTCAGTGGTTGAGCATCGACCTATGAACCAGGAGGTCACGGTTCGATTCCCGGTCAGGGCACAGGCCTGGGTTGTGGGCTAGATCCCCAGTAGGGGGCGTGCAGGAGGCAGCCGATCCATGATTCTCTCTCATTATTGATGTTTCTCTCTCGCGCTCCCTTCCTCTCTAAAATCAATAAAAAATATTTTTTTAAAATAAGAAAGGTGGTCACGCCCTAACCAGTTTGGCTCAGTGGATAGACCATCAGCCTCGGGACTGAAAGGTCCCAGGTTCTGTTCCGGTCAAGGGCATGTGCCTTGGTTGCGGGGCACATCCCCAAGTGGGGAGCATGCAGAAGGCAGCTGACTAATGTTTCTCTCTCATCGATGTTTCTAACCCTCTCTCCCTCTCCCTCCCTCTCTGTAAAAAATTTAATAAAATATTTAAAAAGCAAAGAAGAAAGGTGGTCACATTGGCACTGCACACTGGGAAGGCCAGAGACGCTTTATGTCAAGAGGCTCAGTTCGTGTGGTCTGTTGCGAGCCTACAGGGAACAGGGAAACCGTATCCTATCATCATGGGAAGGTGAGAGTGAAATGTCTCCCGTGCCACCTTTAGCCACCAGCCCTGCTCCCCACTCCCCACCCCGCCTCCCCGGACCGGTCGCTGCTGGAGGAGCAGAGCCAGTTCCAGGCTGCGGTGGGAAGAGGCACGCTCAGAGGTACCTTTCTTTCCGAGCGCGTTTGGGTGGAACCCCCTGGGGAAATGCATCGCTTAGAAACGGAACAGGGGCTGCCTGGAGGTCTCAGAAAAGCGACTCTTTGGCTGCCGAAGCCCCCCCACCCCCCACCTTTTTTTTTTCCTAGGTGAAAAGGATGTTTGGATTCTCAGCAGCCACATCTGCTTTTGAACCGCGTGCCTGCAGCCCGTGCCCGGCCTCGCCCCGCCCTCCGCAGCCCCCCTGTTATTCCAGCAGCGGGAAGCGGAGGTTGTTGACCGCTCTCGGGGGTGGGAAAGGAATGTAACGTATGCGCAGACTGTCCAGAATTTCCTGTTAGACACCCATCGCAAACCACGGCCCCGGGACGCATTCCAGACATCGCAGCGGTTCCAGGAGAGAAGAAACGGTGCATTCATGTACGCTGGCCGGGCGGGCCTCCCTTCCTCCCTCCCTCCCTCCCAGAAAAGGGCGTTTAGCTTCCTCCGCAGCGACTGCGCCCTGAGCTGCACTGTGGGTGCTCTGACACCCACCCCCTGGCGGGAAGGAAGACGCCTGCCTGGGGGAACCGCCGGGGGCCGTTTTGTAGCCTCGACAGCATTGCCGTCCACGGGGGTGCTTGGAACGGGGGTCGTATTTTTACTTTAGCGTTCTGCTTAGATGATCTAAACCTGCTGTGGACCACCACTTCTCTTTAAGGTGTTTATTGACTTCAGAGGGGAAGGGAACAGGAGAGATGGAGACATCCATGATGAGAGAAAGTCATGGATCGGCTGCCTCCTGCCCGCCCCACCCTGGGAGTCCAGCCCACAGCCCGGGCATGGGCCCTGACCAGGACTTGAACCGTGACCTCCTGGTTCCTAGGCTGACGCTCCACCACTGAGCCACACCGGCCGGGCATGGAGGGTCTGGTTTTAATGAAACCGAGTCCTCAGACGATGCTGTCAGAGACCCGGCCCTCTCCTATCTCGGCGACTTTTCCCTCCGTGTTGGCTTCACGCTCAGGTGGGCGCGTCTCACCGGGTGGCAAAGGCGGCCACAGGGGCGCCAGGCTGACATCCTGCCGGCTCAGGAGACCAGCAGGAGCAGAACGGCTCTTCCAGCAGCGGTGGCATCGGGGCCAGGGCAGGCTCTCCTGGGCCCGGGGGGGGGGGGGGGGGGGGCATGTGTATCCTCTGAGGGTCCAGGCCTTGGCCACGGCCTGGAAGCTGGTGGGACGAAAGCAGTTCCCCAGGAAGGTTGGCGAGGCACTCTTACCAGAAAGGTGGGTCATGGACTCTGGCAGGCAAAAATGTCCCGTGTCTGCCGTGCTCGCCCTCGCTCGAGGGCGCTTTGAGGTCCTGGCTGTGGCCCCTGGGCCAGCACGGTTCCCGGAGAGACCGGGGAAGTCTACGGGAGGCTTCCCGTCTCGCCCGTAGGATTGAGGTCTCGGAATGGCACCGACCGATGCATCCACGTTGCGCCGCCCCTTCGCTGCGCCGGAGGAGGGGCGGTCCCGGCCCTGGGCGGAGGAAGAGAGGGAATGTCCAGGAACGGGAAGCATGGTCTGTCTTTCCTGGCGGGGCTGCCGTGACCCCACGTCCAGGATAGAAGCATTAGGGAAATGGCTACCTGCCCCTTTGACCTCAGTGTCACACGCCCTGACGCTGTCAGAGGTCCCAGCGGGCCTGGCGGAGCCCCAGGCCGGCATCTCCAGCTCCTCACCACCCCTCCCAGGCTTCCTGTCGGCCCGGGCCTGCTCAGAGCAACGGAGAACGTTACATCTTAGGGTCCCCCCATCTGCTCCTGCTGGCGACCCCCCTGCACTCAGCCTATGGGATGTCCAGGCCCCTGGCCCAGCATCTGTGTGAAGAGAAAGGCAGCTGCAGGGAGCAGGGGAGCGGCCGTGGGCTTGTCTTGGTTGGCAGGGCTCAGAAAGAGAAGAGGGGGCAGTCGGTCTGACGGGCCTGCCCTGCCAGCACCAGCATCTCATAGCCCAGGAGATGGGAGCCTGCAGGAGAGGCCCTGCTGGGCCCGTTCACCTCCTGCGCGGACCTCCCGGGTTCACCTCACACGGGAGGCTTCTCGTTTTTGATGCACAGCCAGGGGGCAGGAGGCCCTGGGTCAGATGCCCACCGGGCAGGCGCCTCGCTCAGCTCAGCCAGGCAGAGGGCTCAGCTGAAGCCCCCGAGGGAGCCCAGGGAGAGGAAAGCGGGTGGCAGCCCCCACAGAGCTCATGTGGACCCTTAACCCTTCCCTTTCTTTTCTCCCGTCGTCAGAGCAATCCCATGGAACCACTTTCCCAGATGGGTGTCTAGTTTTGCTTTCTAAGTTACAGCTTATGTAACCGATGTCTGTTACAGTAAGTTATGCCTCCCTGTTGTCAGATGGCAGGGGGGAATGGGGAGGAGATATGTACCTACAGAATCCAGCCTTGGTTTCAGAACCCCCACTCCTTTAAAAAGCAAAGCTTTTAAGAGACAAATGACAATAACAAGCGCTGATGTTTGTGAAGTGCTTGCCCAGAGCCAGACACTGTTCTGACGCTTTATAAGGGCTCATGTCATTCTCACAATTGCCTGTAATTGCCTTTATTGCCCCCGTCTTACAGATAAGGAAACAGAAGCACAAGAAAGTCACGTAACTTAATGTAGGTCCTGGCTGTTGCTGGTCAAACCAGAATTCTCCTCCTGAGCAAGCGGACCAGTCTGTTCCCTCGTGGGGCTTGCCCTTGGTGGGTCATGTTGCTCATTGGTCACAGGAACAACAGCAGCAAGAAAACGAGCCGCCAAGGTGTGATAGTTGCCCAGGGACAAATGGTGAGGGCTTCCGCTGGAGTATACCAGGGGCAGGGCATTGCTGAGGACAGACTTAAGAGCTGGTGAGGATATCAGACAACCCAATGAAAGGGAGAAGGGTAGATTTTAAGACTAGGAGAGGGGTGGAAGTTAAGAGAGAGGAATGAGCTGAAGACATATCTCAGCCCAGGCTGTATGGCTCAGGGATTGAGCATCCACCCATGAACCAGGAGGTCGCCGGTTCGATTCCCAGGCAGGGCACAAGGCCGGGTTGCGGGCTCGATCCCAGGAGCGGGCGTGCAGGAGGCAGCTGATGGATATTTCTCTCTCATCATTGTTTCTGTCTCTCCCTCTCCCTTTCTCTCTCCCTAAAAATCAATTTTAAGAAAACATTTTATATATCTTAGACATGCACACATTCATGTAGAAATCCAGTGGCCAAGGAACAAATTCCTTCAAGCCAGCCCCTGGAGAGCAGGAGTGTTCTGAGAAGAGGGGATGTGAGGACAGAAGGAGTGGGAGGTGAGATGTCAGTGTGATCGCAGGGAGGAAATGGAGTGAGGTGGGCAGGGATGGGTATGGGCCCGCGTGGGAAGGTGATGGGGAAAAGCAGAAAACTTGGGGATGATTTTCAACGGCTTTTCTTCCTAAGTCTGATTTTTTTTTTTTTAAAGAGACATGACATTTTTTTTATGTCATGTTCTAGACCCATGTTCAGCCTTGCTATCCCTTCCTTGACGCCTCCAAAGTAGTCTTAAAACCCACGTAACAGGAAGGTGCGGGCGCTCAACTCTCTTTTTAATACCCTGCTGACACGGCCCTGGTGATAAAGACTTGTTTCTGGATCCCCGCGCCACCCGGAGACCTCTCTCCTTGGCACGTTATCGGTGGGAACACTGGCAGGGCGGGAAGAAAGGCGGCGAGAGGCGGGTCCTGATTACAAGCAGAGCAGCTGGGCGGCCCTTGTGTGCGCAGGGCGGGTGGGAGGGTCGGCTGGGGCTGCCGGGTGAGGAGGCCGAGGGGAGCATTCTGCTGGGGAAGGACACGTCTCGGGGGCCTTCCTTTCACATGGGCCTCCTCTGGTTTTGAGGTCATCACGGCCCAGGGGGTGTGGGCCGTGACGGTAGCGACATTGACTTCCTGCAAGGCTGTCGCCTGGTGTGTGCTCCCCGGGCACGGAGTGGGGAAGGAGCATTGGAGTCCGTCTGACGTTCAGGTTTGGAAGTGAGCACGCTTCCTCCGGGGCATCACCGGGCCGCTGGGAAAACACAGGAGGCGGAAACGGGAGCGCCCATCACCCGGTGATGACTGTTCACCGTTTGTCACGGTTTTGCTGATCTGATTTGTGCTCTCTTTCCACCTCTTCTTGTACAGTTCTGACCCAGTCAGATACACAATTATTTATCGAGCTTTTCTGTTCTGATGTTATAAACATTTCTCCATCAAGCTATGGACTTGGATATCATGTATCGGTAGTTGAGTGTCGACCTGTGAACCAGGAGGTCACGGTTCAATTCCCGGTCAGGGCACATGCCCGGGTTGGGGGCTCGATCCCCAGTAGGGGGCGTGCAGGAGCCAGCCCATCCATGATTCTCTCTCATCATAGATGTCTCTGTCTCTCTCTCTCTCTCTCTCCCTTCCTCTCTGAAATCAATAAAAATATACATATATTTTTTAAATATCATGTTTCAACTAAAACCTTTCCGCCAGACCAGCGGTCGGCAAACTGCGGCTCGCGAGTTTGACTAATGAGTTTGCCAACCACGGACCTAGACTCTCCATTCCAATAATTACAGGCTGTTGTTTCTTGTGATTAAGCCCCTGTCCCAGCGGTAGGCAAACTCATTAGTCAACAGAGCAGCAAACCATGGCTCAGGAGCCACATGTGGCTCGAGAGCCGCAGTTTGCCGACCGCTGCGTGACCAGACTCTAGCTGGAGGAGAGGCAGCTGCTGGGGTGGAAGGCAGGAGGGCGGTCACATTACAAGCCCATGTCTTGAACCCTTTTAGGAACAAGTGAGCTGGGGAGGGGAGGGGCCCGTGCTGGCCCTGAGGAAATCCATTCCCCGCTGGCCTGGTTTTGAGAGCACCGGACCCAGCCAAGAGGGGCTGGACTCTTAGAAAGCCCCCGCCTGCCGGAGGCTGCCGCAGGCCCGGGGACCGGTTAGCGGGAGAGGCCTGGGCCTGCCGCAGGCGTGCGAGTGAGGCTGCGCGGGCTGCTCCACGGCTTCCTGCAGAGCAGGGAGGACCTGAGAGGCTGCCATTTCCCCGTCGGGGGTGATGGGCTCCCAAGTGACTCGAGCTCCTGGAGTGACTCTCGCAGGCTATTTATAGCCTCTCCAAGCTAAGTCATCAGATGGTGGAAATTATAAGGAGCTCGCTGGCTCCAGGCTTAGGATTTTTCTTTTAGCATGTTAGTTAGTTAGTTAATTAGTTAGTTAGTTAGTTAGAGGTTGATGTATGTGATCCTCAGAGGAGGAACATAGAATCGGGGAAGGTGCTGCTTGTAGAACTGTTGACTGTCCAATCTGGAATTACCTGCTCCGTGTCTCTGAGACAGGAACAGACAGCTTGTTTCCTTGCAGGGAAATGGACTGCCGTTCAGAGGAGAGAGAGTTGTGTTTTGATTTTAATCCTTACCCGAGGATAGGTTTTTCATTGATTCTAGAGAGGGATGGAGGGAGAGAGGAAGGGAGGGAGGGAGGGAGAGAGGGAGAGGGAGAGGGAGAGGGAGAGAGAGAGAGAGAGAAAGAGGGAGAGAGAGAGAAAGGGAGAGAGAGAGAAACATTGATGTGATAAACATTGATCAGTTGCCTCTCACACACGTCGCAACTAAGAGATCGAATCCACAACCCGGGTATGTGCCCTGACCGGGAATCGAGCCCATGACCCTTCAGTGCACAAGCCGATGCTCTACCCACTGAGTCACACCGGCCAGGGCAGAAGAGAGTTTTTTTCCTTCTCTGTAAAATGCTTGTGTGTGGCACAAAAAAAAAACGAAAACACCCAACATGACAACAAAACAGTTTAATCGTTGACATGAAATGTGAGTTGATTGCAGTAGTTTCCTCTCCGTTTGGCCTTTTTCTTCTCCTTCTTAATCTTACCTAAGTCGTTCCAAGATTTTCTTCGACGTGGCACACAGAGAAAGCACCCACTTCGGGAACAGGCCCGCTTGGGTTCGAGTCCCTGCACACACAATCCCTGGGTGTGTTTTCTCAGCACTGAGAGGGAAGCAGTGACCCTAGGGGAGCTGGGAGGACCGCAGGAGATGCGGGTTGTAAAGGACTGGAATTAAGACGCTGGGCCTCCGTACGCAGTGGTCACTATCATGGTCACCATGGCTGCTGGCTCAGACTCTGGGTCCAGTGCCCTGGTCGGGCCTGGCATGTGGGGCCTGGGATGGTACCTGGGACATGCGCTCAGAGACCCACCAGGAAGATAAAAGAGCCAGCCAGCTCTCCCGGGATGTATGGTTCTGAAGCTCATCTTTGGTGAATAAGGATCTTCAATTCACACTTCCTGGGCCATCTGCCCAAAGGCAGGCTGGAGACCCACCCAGGCCTGTAGAGTTGCTGGCAAAACAGCCTTTTCCGTTCTTTTTCGGAAATCCCGTCCGAATGCACATGCTTTGTGCTACCGGCAGGAGAGCGAGGACCCCAAGACTTTCAGCACAGGTTTTGCAATCTCTTGAGGTGGAGGGTGCTCTACGCGTCCCTCAAGTGTTCAAAAATAGGATTCGTGCCAGAATTGCTTTTAGGGAGAGAGAAACTCCAATAGCGGTCGCCTGGACTTCAATCATTTCCCATGTTGGTGATTCTCCCGGTCCCCCTGAGCCTGTCCCTTTGCCTGCGGCCTCTTCTCAGAGCTGACCCTCCCCAACGTGGTGTGTGGGGGGACCGTCCTGGCTGCATTCCCAGGCAAAATCGCCCTGCCCTCCAAGCGGTCCGTTCCCTCCCCGAGGTATGTTTTTCCTCGGGACGGATGTGTGCCTTCTCTTGCTGGCGGGGAGGGGGGGGGGCAGCTTGTCCTGCACCCAGGGTAACAGAAAGGATCCATCACTCCCTCTGGAGCTTTGGTCCAGGCCCAGGGAGGGAACAAGGCGTGGCCCAAAACTAAGGTGACCAGACGTCCCGCTTTTGGCGGGACAGTCCCGCCAAAAGCGGGACGTCTGGTCACCTTACCCAAAACCCACCTGGGACTCACGAAGATGGACTTGGCCCAGGCCAGCCCTGCTCGGGCCAGGGCCGTGTTCTCTGCCCCCGCTTTCCGGCCGTGTGTGTTGTAAGTGTAATGGAAGCCTCCAGCCCGGAGCTCCGTGAGTCCGGGCTGCGGTCAGTCTTCCATCAGAGTTGAGGAAGGGGCTCCTTCGTGCCTGTAATATGCTATTTCTTAACCCATGAATGAGTCACTTCCACGGTGAGCGGGGAGTAGCTGAGACCCTCGTTCCAGAGTGACTCTTGGGTCCCTTCCTAGAGAAACGCTGCTCGGAGCCGTCAGGGGCCTTGGTTTGGAAGGAGTGCTTCTTGCAGGCTCAGGAGACGTTCTCTGCCGGGTCCAGGCATGCAGAGGGTGCCTGACCCTCAGCATTTAGGTCACGTCCTGAGCAAGCAGCCCCCACGGGGCTGAGGGCCGAGGAATTCTGTCCAGCCAGCAGGACTGGACTCTGCCGACCTGCTGGCCTTCTAGGATCCACATGCCGAATAACAATCCCGCAGCGTGACCTCCTGGGGCCCCTCGTCGGTTTGTCCTGAGTGGGTCTCCCGGTCTCGGGACCAGAGTCAGGGTGGGGTGGGGGCTGTGCCCATTGGCGTCTTCACGCAGCATCACAGCCGTGATAGCGTGCCACCCTGGGCCACAGCATGCCGTTTTCTCTCTCCAGCCTCCCACTGCAACGTGAGCCTGAAGAAGCAGCGGAACCGCAGCATCCTCAGCTCCTTCTTCTGCTGCTTCCGGGACTACAATGTGGAGGCCCCGCCCGCCAGCAGCCCCAGCGTGCTGCCCCCGCTGGTGGAGGAGAACGGCGGGCTGCCCAAGGTCAGTGCAGCCCAAGGACCGCGCGCCCCGCACAGCTGCACAGCTGCCTGTCTGTCACATCCCGGACAGACGTCCTTCCTGAGAGCCCAGCACGGTGTGGGTGGAGCCGTTTACTTAAAGATTCGAGGTCACCGAAAGCGCCGTCTCTTTTGTTAAAAGATGTCTCCGTCGTCCCCATGTAGCAGCTGAAGTGTGTGTGTGTGTGTGTGTGTGTGTGTGTGAAGAGAGTTGTAAGCCTCCGTTCACATGTTGATAACATTCTTGGCCAGTTGAGTGTGTGAATGGAGAGCGAAAGGACAATGAGCCGACAGGGACATGGAAAGCAGGGTCGTGGGAAAGAGCTAAGAATAAATACAAGTGGCTTTCACTACCTTGTTTAATAGCAGACATTAGCTGTTAAGGATCCTTTTACAGGTAGCAAGTAAATAATTGTAAGCCGATTGTCACCGTAGGTTAAAAAAAAAAAAAAAAAGAATAAACAGATTCTACCCACATGCTGTCTACAGACATATTCAAAACAGAGTAACTCATAATAATGAAAAATAAAAGGATAAGCAAAAAGACATCCTACAAGTATAAGCAAAACGAAAACAATTCAGTGAAAAACAGAAGTCCAGGTGAAAATCACTGAGGGAGGCAAAGGGGATTGATTACATATGATGAAGATAGTCAAGATTGAGGGCACAGAAGTCATAACCCTTCAGGCCCCGAATCCCATGAGCAGAGGACATGAGCTGGTATTTCACAAAACAAGTAATCCTGTGGGTCAATAAGCAAAATGTTTTTCGATATGGCCAGTAATCAGAGAAATACAAATTAAATGAGATCTTTTTCCATTATCAAAGGTATCTTTGAAGGGAATACTTGGGTTTGGTGTAGAGATGGGAGAAGGGAGGGGAGAAGAGATAAATTGGTTCCTGGTAGGAGTATTAATTGGCTTACACCTTTCTGGAGGGAAATCTGGGGTCTGACCTTAAACCCTTAAACCATATGCCCATTTGTTCCCCTCAGCAGCTCCAGCTTATGGGCCCAGATGAGCCCACACTAAAGCCTGGGAAGTGCATTACCGCCTTCTGTGTCCCTGACATCTTCCGGGGAAAGAGCAGGCACGGGACTAATTCTCTCTGGCTCTCAGTGAGAAGCAGGGAACCGCCATCAGGGGGGATTGCTCACCTTCCTTGGAGTCCCAGCACAAAGACATAAAACGTACAGTCCTGTGGGGTCAGCTGCCCAGCAGGAGCCTGGGAATCCACCATGTGTGTGAAGTCCTCGGGGGGGCTGTACTGATGAGCTGAATTGCTTGCACTTTTTGTGCCTTGAACAAGCCCTGTGGTCTGGGGTCTTTCTCCATCTCTCTGTGGTTTGTCAGTTTGGGCTGGGCTGGAGCACGAGAACGTCAGTCCTTGCTGGGCCTCACGGTGCTCCCTCATTTGCCACTGCTGAGAAAGTCCAGGTTGAAAAATCAGACTCTGAGACTCCTACGGAGGTAAAACTAATGGAAGAAGTAGAAGAGAACTTTAACAGAAACTCAGGAAATGACATTTCAGGGACTGAATTTTAAGTGCAAAAGTAACTTTTAGAACTTAAAAAACATCCCATGATTTCTAAATATAAAAATTCAATAAACAAACGAAGAAAAGAAAAAAAAGGGAGAATGAGAAATGGTCACTGCTGAGAACTGAATTAAGTTCTGGGAGAGCAAATGGAAGAAATATCTTACAATTCAGACCAGAAGCACAGAGATGGTAATTGGGGGAGGGGGGAGGGGCCATCTAAGAGACCTAACATGCAAATAATAAGACATGGAGAAAGAGGAAAAAGTAATAGAAGAAATTTTTCTTGAGCTGAAAAAATTTTAATTTGCAGATTCAAAGGGTACCAAATCTACAGTAGGGTTAGTGGGGGCAAGTGAGGGAACACAGGCTTAGATACATGCTAGACTTCTCAGCAACACTGAAAGCCAGGAGACTATGAAAAGTGTTTGTAAGCTATTGAGAGAAAAGAATTATAAACCAAAACTTCTATCATCAAGAAATCATCTATGAAGGAAAAAGATGTGCATTTCATGCATACAATGATTCAGAGAGAGGAGCAAAATAAATCTGGGTGAGATTGATGTTATTACAATACTAGAGGCCCAGTGCATGGATTTGTGCACCACTGGAGTCCCTTGGCCTGACCTGTGCCCTCTCCCAATCCGGGACCCTTCGGGGGATGTCAGATAGCCAGTTTCAGCCCCATCCCAACAGGCCCGATCCTGCTCATTGAGGGTCTGTGCCCTGGTGGTCAGTGCATGTCATAAGGACTGGTCAACCGGTTGTTCAGTCGCTCAGGCTTTTATATAATTAGATGATTATAGAAAATGTAGGAATAAATATAACTATTGAGATCAGAACTAATATAACAAGTAGCACAATTAGGAAATAGATCCTCAATATTCACTGAGAGTGAAAGGAGAAACAAACAGAAATGTGAACAAGCCATCCCAATTAAGGAAAGGGAAAAGGAACCAATAACATAATAAATAGCAAACCCAACATAGAGAGTAGGCATAAAAACCAAGTTTAATAAACCAAATTCTCCTGATGAAAGACCAACACGCTATCAGATGGGCTTGAAAAATCCTGCAGTATAAGTTCCCAGGACTACACCTCGATCAGATGGGAATGATTTTGGCAGCAAGTAAAAGAAAACTGACAAATAATAGCTTAGACAAATAGGGGGCTATTTTTGTCAGATAAAAAGCCTGGGGCTGGTCCTTGCTCCGGCTAGTTTAAGTGCCAGATGAGGCCATCAGGGACCCTCACTCTTTCTGTCCTTCTGTCTTTACATCTTTCTGCTCCACCGTCCTTGGCATGTTTGACTTTACCCCCGTGCCTGTTGTTCATCATCTCAAAGCACGAGCTTCAGCCGTCATATCCACACTGAAAGGAAAAGCAGAAGGAGGAGGAGTCTAGCCATGTCTGTCCCTTTTATGGGAAGTGACAGCTTTCACAGAAAAGCCCGGGAGACTTCCGCGAGGTCCCATGGGCCAGAATTTTGTCATGTGGCTTCCCTTCAGCAGCAAGGGAGGTCCAAAAGGGGAAAAATTTAGACCAGCAAAAAGAACTAATTTTTTAATATATTTTTATTGATTTCAGAGAGCAAGGAAGAGGGAGAGAGAGAGAGAGAAGCATCAGGGATAAGAGACAGTCATTGATGGGCTGCCTCCTGTATGCCCCCTACTGGGGATCGAGCTTGAAACCTTGACCAGAATCAAACCTGGAACCCTTCAGTCCACAGGCCAGTGTTCTGTCCACTGAGCCAAACTGGCTGGGGCCCAGCCAAAAAGAATTTAAACAGAATCAGAGTAGATGTACTTACTAGTCAGTGAGGGTTCAGTTACACTGCAGTAACATCCCCTCAAACCCCAGAGGCTTAAAGTAATGTAAAAAAAAAAAATTTTTCTCTCATGTTGCATGTTTATTATGATCCATAGCTTGGCCTTCTGCTCTGTGGCACCATTCAATCAAAATATGATGTGAGCCACATATAATTTACGTTTGTCTAGTAGCCCCATTTAAAAAAATTATATATGACATATCTATAATAATAAGAGCATAATATGCTAATTAGACTAGACAGCCAAACGACCTTCTGGACAAAGCTGGGGCTGTGAGGGCCGAGGCAAGCCACCGTGGCTTTACGAGGGCCAAGCCCTTTGCATGGGCCTTCATATATATATATATATATATATATATATATATATATGTATATATATATATGTATGTATGTATGTGTATGTATATAAATTGATTTCAGACAGAGGAAGGGAGAGGGAGAGAGAGATGGAAACATCAATGGTAAGAGACAATCACTGATGGGCTGCCTTCTGCACGCCCCTTACTGGGGATCAAGCCCGCAAGCTAGGCATGTGCCCTGACCGGAAATGAAACCATGACCTGATTCTCAGGTCAGCGCTCAATCACTGAGCCACATCAGCCAGGCCAAAATATTTTTAAGATAAATTAATTTTTTAAGGTTCTGTTTCTTTTTTTAAAGTATACTTTTATTGATTTCAGAGAGGAAGGGAGAAGGAGAGAGAGCTAGAAACATCAATGATGAGAGAGAATCATTGATTGACTGCCTCCTGCACGCCCCCTACTGGGGATCGAGCCCTAAACCCAGGCATGTGCCCTTGACCCGAATGGAACCTGGGACCTTTCAGTTCGCAGGCCGACACTCTATCCACTGAGCCAAACCAACCAGGGCAAGATAAATTACTTTTAATAATATGTTTTATTTAATACAGTATAGTCGAATACAATTTTAACATATAATTAATAGAAAAAATTGTCAATGAGATAAGATTTACATTTTTTTTTTATCTTAAAGTTCTTCAAAATCTGGTGCACTTTGCATTTATAGCACATCTAGATTTGAACTACCCACATTTTGCTTGCTGGATAGCATCACGTGACTAGAAACTATCATTATCGGATTGCAGTACTCTATCTGATCCTCAGTCATGGACCTAGGCTCGTGGTCGGCAAACCGCAGCTAGCGAGCCACATGTGGCTCTCCCACAAAATACCACGGCCTGGGTGAGTCTGTTTTGAAGAAGTGGCATTAGAAGAAGTTTAAGTTGAAAAAATGTGGCTCTCCAAAGAGATGTCAATCGTTGTCCTGTTGATGTCTGGCTCTGTGGACTGATGAGTTTGTGGACCACTGGCCTAGAACTATAGAGGAGGGGGGAAAGAGAAAGAAAAGAAAAGAGTCAGTGCTGCGATAGTAACCGTTATTTTAGAACAGTGTCTGCCCAGAGGCAGTGACCTGGGAAGAAGGTTCCCCACGGTGTTCAGCTGTGTGTATCCGTGAGCAGAGGCCTGTAAGGCAGTTCTCTGGCTCAGCGGAGCTCACCCGGGCTTGGTGTTCATTCATGGGCTTGCCTCGGTTACCACCTGCCAGACGCCTGTTTAAAGAATGGCGTTAACTCGGAGCAGTGCATCATTTGCATGGCACTCGCATTTTCCGTGGGAAACCAGACCCTCCTAGAAAGAGCCCACTTGAAAGTGAGACCAGCTGCTTCCCCGAGGAGGGCTCTCCGCGTGGTCAGGACACCCCACATACACAGCCCAGGCCCGGGATGTGTAGAAGCCGATTCCAGGCCTGTCTCTTCTGCTGCCTCCTCAGCTCCCCCTGCCTCGTGGAACGCAGCAGGCCAGAGACAGGGGACAGAACACAGCGAGCAGATGGCCTCGGTGGGGAAATGCTTTGACAGGAGTGGCCTGGTGGCAGCCACTGCCACATCCAGTTACAGCCTGGACCTGCAGGCCAGTGTCTGCAGCCTCTGGCCCGAGGCTAGGTCAGTGGTCGGCAAACAGAGCCAAATATCAACAGAACAACGATTGAAATGTCTTTGGAGAGCCGAAAACAGACTTCTGCGCATGGGCCGCGAAGCTTCAATCGCACTATACGTGTGCGACCACATATGGTATTTTGTGGAAGAGCTATACCCAGGGGGCCAAAGAGCCACCTGTGGCTCGTGAGCCGCAGTTTGCCAACCACTGGGCTGGGATGACTCAGCACCTAGAAGAAGGCCAGTGACAGAGGCTGAGCAGGACTTGTAAGGGTGAGGACAAAGTGAGCGAGGTTTCTGGACACTCACTAATACATGCGTACCCCGTGGTATGCAAGCATGTGCACACATACACACACACACACACACACACACACACACACGCGCGCGCGTAAACTCTGGGGTGATTTTCAAGCCCAAACATCTGTCTAGAGCAGTGCCTTGGGTCATAGTCTGTGTGCTGTCAAGCCCTGCGGATGTTATTGTTCTCTCGCTGTCGGTGATGTGTCCTCTCATTGAAGGGGTGTCTGTGTGGGGGAGCTGTGCGCAGGCTCCCTCTCGTGCAGGGTCTCTGCGGACATGTGTGACGGTCACTCCTGGAGGTCCTATCGGTACCTCGTGGGTGGAGGCCCAGGATGCTGGTAAGCGTCCACAACATCCAAGACAGCCCCCAGGGCAGAGTTCTCGGGCCCAGAAAGTCAGCGGCGCTGGGCTGAGAAACCCTGCTCCGGGCTGGCCCAGCTTGTGACAGCTTGTGAGCAGCCAGTTAAAACCGCCCGGGTCCAGCTGCTGGAAGTAGTGTGACTGAAGAGCTGCGGAAATGAACTTCTTGCAAACTGGGATGTGCTCTGAGGGCGCCCACCGTGTGTGTGGAAGAGCAACACAGCTCTGCTTTGACTCATGGCAAAAGGCCGCTTAGAACCCTTCGGACCAGCCCCGGGTGTCCTGAGCCAGAAGGAGCCATCAGGATGATCTCAAGAGGAAACAGCCGTCGCTGTTGGACTGCAGAGGGGACGCCGGGGTCTGGAGATAATCGGGAAGTTGCTAACTGGTTCCTAGAGCCAGAGCAGAGCTCAGGAAGGTGCCAGCCACCTGCCACTGTCCACAGTCAGGCTGGGCCCTTTCCCGTGACAGCCCTGTCACCAGACACACACACACACACACACCATCATATAAGACGGTTACACTTTCCACAAAGCGCTCTGTGTGTGGGAGACTGTGAACGGAGCACGCCCTGACCAGGACCACGCTGCTGCTGTCAGTTGCCTCCCATCCCACCATCTAAAGAAGCAGCAGCACAGAACGTGGCAAAGCTCCGTTGGAGAGAAACGTCTTCTTTTGTCAGCATGTCTTAACGATGCCAAAATGAAGTGTTTCCATCCCCCATGTTTGGAATGGGGAGAAGGGCATTCACGGCGGAGGAAATGATGGAGGCTCTTCCTTGGGGCCTGAATTTTCTTTTTCTTGACTATGTTTGGATTGATTTTTTTTTTTAGAGAGAGAGGAAGGGAGAGGGAGAAGGAAGAGAGAGAAAGAAACATCCATGTGGGGGGAAGGAGAAATAATTGTAATAATCTGAACAATAAAGATTTATTAAATGTTTTTTAAAAAAAAGAAACATCCATATGATGTGAGAGCAGAACATGGATCAGCTGCCTCCTGCACGCTCCCTACACTCCCCCTACTAGGGTTCGAGTCTGCAACCCGGGCATGTGCCCTGACCAGGAACCAACGACCTCTTGGTTCATGGATCGACACTCAACCACTGAGCTACAGCAGCCAGGCCAGGGCCTGAATTTTTCTGACACCCCCCTGAGAATACAGATCCTGTTCCCCTTAAAGGGAAAGCTGCCCGTGTCTGTGGCCTGGGAGGGCACTTCTTGTACCTCACCTTGACCCCCTGCCCGCTCCTCCGTGGAGGAGGACCAGCGGTGGCCAGGGAGTGCCTTGTAATCTGATGAACTTGCCTTCCTCTCCCTGCCCGCTGTGTAGACTGAAGGCCTAGTGTTCTCGGGGGAAAACTTGCTTAAAAGAAGAAAACAAGCCAGTCATTAGAGGGTGTCATGGATCAAAGTAAAGTATGGGTTTTCATTTTTAAATCTCAGTTAAGGATTAAATTTCTGGGAGTATGGAGAGGCACTATTCAAATAAACAAGAGGAGGAATGAGCCTCAGGAACCCAGCCTGGATTGTCAAAGGAGGGGGTGTCTGGGAGGCAGAGACCCGAACTGTGGGAAATCTCTGGATTCCTCCCTCGCGTTAAATGCCGCCAAGGTACCGAGGGCGGGAAGGCATGTGCCTGCTGTACAGTCGGAAGTGCTTTGAAGTTCCTTTTGAGTATATGTTCTACTACTCTTCAAACCTGACAGTGACTTTTTTTTTTTTCTTCTTTTTCCTCAGGGTGACCAGAGGCAGGTCATTCCCATACCAAGTGTATGTATATTTATTCAATTTTACTTAAACATTCATAGAGTCTTACAGCTTTGGGCCTACTACTATAAACTGTTCTTTCTTATGTTGTGTTTTATCATGTGGTATAGCCAACTCTGTTCTGTTAAAAAGTAACATGAGGCTACATTTTTTTTTTTTTTTAAATATGTTTTTATTGGTTTTTAGAGAGAGAGAATGGGAGAGGGAGAGGGAGATAGGAACATTGATGAGAGAGAAACATCTATTGGCTGCCTCCTGCACGCCCCCACTGGGGATCAAGGCCGCAACCCAGGCATGTGCCCTTACCAGGAATCAGACTGTGGCCTCCTGGTTCATAAGTCAACACTCAACCACACCAGCAGGGCCACAAATAGATACTTAATCAAAAAAAAAAATCTCTTCTCCAAATTGGTTCTCTATTTTTCCTTGGATTTTTTAAAATCTGTTTTCTGGGACCATCCAAGAGACATAGCAGTCCTACATTTGAAAGGAACTGATTTCAGTAGCACAGGCTGACTCTACATTTGGTGATGCGTGTCTCTTGTAAATTGCCCAAACAGTGTGTGATCATTTTCCTCAGAACTTGAACTCTCCACGTACTAACAAGTCGCCAGGGTGTGTGGCCAGCACACCTAGGGGTGGGGCTTTGTTGGGGAAACGGATCAGAGCATTTGGTTGGGCGGCGCGACTTCTTCTCCAACGTGGAGTCGGATTCAGATCTGTTCACCTATCTCCCCGTGGAATTTTTTCCACGTATTTTCAATCCCCAGGGAGGCTCGTAGCCTTCATGCCAAGTAGTGCCAGGTACTTCATTCTCCCTGCACAGCTAGCTACCCACATGTCACAGGTGGCAAGTGGCACCTCTCTCCCTCCCCTTGACACTCCAGGGAGCGCGCTCTCTCCTCAAAGCTCAGTCACTGCTGTCTGTACAGTGAGGTGCTGAATCAAGCACTTGTCAGGGTGAGAACGGCTGAGAAGGATGGCCCTCTCCCCACAAACATAGACTCATTCTAGAATCCTAGGATAGGATAGCCTAGACAGGGGTTCTCTACCTTCCTAATGCCGCCACCCTTTCATACGGCTCCTCATGTCATGGTGACCCCCAACCATAACATTATTTTCGTTGCTACTTCATGACTGTAATTTTGCTACTGTTAATGAATCGTAATGCAAATGTCTGTGTTTTCCAATGGTCTTAGGCTGTACAACAGCATGGGAAAGACAATAGTTGTGTTTTCATGTCTATAGACTTTTTTTTAATTTTTAAATATGTGTTTATTGACTTTTAGAGAGAGAGGAAGGGAGCAGGATAGAAAGATAGGAACATCGATGAGAGAAACATTATCAGTTGGGTGCCTCCCGCATGCCCCCTACTGGGGATCGAGCCCACAACCCGGGCATGTGCCCTGACCTGGAATTGAACCCGGGACCTCTTGAGTCACACCAGCAGGACCATGCCTATATTCTTTACATCACTGTACAATAAAAAGTTAAAACAAACTCTAGTCACAGGCGTGTTTGCTGTTACTGCCCAAACAACGGAAATCGCCCAAATCCTTGTGTTCACTTATAGAGTTTGTCATGCCCTGCCTTTTTAAAGCACTTTTCCATAGAAAACTTCTTGCAAGTGTATATTCATTTCCCTAATAACCCACCTGCTTGCTGGTTTATGATGGCACAGTCCTTCCTGGCACCCATGTCTGGGCACACCTGTTCCCAGTGCTGCCAGGTTAGGAATACCAGTAGTGCTTGGTGAATAGGGGGCCATAAAGGTGTTTTCTGGATGAGGTTGGGAAGGGTAAAGCACCCACACTCACTGGAGAGAGCCCCTCTAGAATGAGACATGCCCGTGTCCCCACATACAGCCTCGTCTTGGCCAGCCCGGCCCAGTGCCTTCCTGCCAGAAGGATCCCTCCACTTGCCGTCTCACCGGATGACCGCCTCTGCTGCCTTCCCTCCTGAACCGGCTAAAGTCCAACATTAACTCCGGGTCCTTGGCTAAGGTTCAGGTTAGACCAAACAACAGCAAGAAAAGCCACTTAAAAGGGGATTCGTCTCGATTTCTCTTTTCTCTCGTTTTCTTGGATAAACGGAATCGTTCATTCTCCAGTGGCTAGGGGCAGATGCTCTCCTGTGTTGTGTTGAGCATTAAACATCGCCCAGAGCTTGGCCTTCTTCCAGCTCAGAGAATTAGCTTGTGCACACTGGATACCGGCTAAGCCACAGAGGAAACGAACATACTTCAGATCACTTCTGGAAACGAAGCAAGGCCCACAGAAAGAAAACACGCTGAATCCAGAATGAGGTTGTCTGAGGACACCTAGCGTTTCATTCATTCTTTATGACCTTTTTATCACAAGGTTAGAGTCAGCTACCGCAAAGTCATATAAATAGATTTTCCGGCCGACACGCTGCAGGTGGGTTAAAGCAGAGGTAAAAATGCCACCTTCACTCCTGGGACACACAGCGGGGCCGGCGCTGGGCAGGGCGCTGAATCTGGACCCGCTTTATTTCTGTTTCCTGTGACTGGAGGGCGCTTTGGGTTGCAATTTGCTGGCGGGTCTATAGTTTCCCTTCAAGTTTATGAACATTTCAGTGACTGAAAAATAAATTTAAAATGCTGTGGTTCCACTACGGCTCAGAAACATACTTACGTACCGTAGTGAATCTCAAGCATAATGTGATCCGGGGAAATGAGCTGTATCGTTAGAGTCGCTGTTATAATTAAACATTCATTTCTGTGTGGCCCATTTTAACAATAACAATAACCATTATATACGTGCCAGGCAGAATGCCGGCATTTACCGCAATTAGAGCAGATAACCACAACTTTTCATGATAAGTATAATCATCCCAGCTTAACAGCCTGGAAAGAGACAGAGCTGATCGTCAAACCCACGTTTTATCTGGTCCCCAAGTCTCGGCCCTCATAATGACCATTCAGAAATGGCACAGAATTTGGTAAAACTTGAGTGGCAAACTACAAAATTCCATGATGCACTAGACCAAGCACCTAGATGTTTGGTTTCAGAAAATTAACATGTGAAAAACAACAACAACTGTAGTACAGCTACACAATGGAATACTACGCTGCCGTAAAAAAAGGGACTGGAGAGCATTATGCTGAGTGAAATGAGCCAGTCAGAGAAAGATAAATACCACATGATCTCACTCATTTGTGGAATTTAATGAACAAAAATAGATAGAACCAGAGTCATAGATGCATCAAACAGACCGTCCAACCTATGAGGGAAGGCAGATGGTGAGGGGATAAGAGATCAACCAAAGGACCTCTAGGCATACATAGGAGCATAACCAATGGACACAGACAGTGGGGGGGCGGGGAGTGTGAGGGCATGTGCTGGGGGCTGGAGGCAGCCAGGGAGAGGTCCATGGAGGGAAAAGGAGACTGTTGTCATACTTTAAACAATAAAGAATTTAAAATAAATGTTTGGTTTCCTTTTTAACCTCATTAACATAGTACAATACAGTAATAAGAGCATGGGTGTGTCTTTTATATCAGGGTAATAATATATATTTTTTTTTCTTTAGCCACCAGCTAAATACCTCCTCCCCGAGGTGACGGTGCTTGACTACGGGAAGAAATGTGTGGTCATTGACTTAGATGAAACGTTGGTGCACAGCTCGTTCAAGGTGAGTCACCATAAAGACCACACGTATGGTGGTCAGTGTGTGATGTCATGTTCACAAAGAAATCCCAAGAACAGTTGCTTATTAACTCAGGGGAACAGTAACTGGGGGTGTTGAATATTAACATCATTGGAAAAGAACTGTTGGCCCAGAATGAAACTCACTACAGACTGATTCCTTTGCCTCTCAGCATAACCATTATGGCTTGTCTCAGTTTCGGTTCTTACTAGTGTATTGCTTGTATCACATGATCTCACGCATCTAAGGGAAATAGTGAACAACATAAACCGATGAACAAAAACAGACCTGGAGACAGGGAAGCATCAATCAGACTGTCAGACCTCAGAGGGAAGGTAGGGGACAGTGGGGGGAAGGGGGAGAGATCAGCCAAAGGATTTGTGTGCATGCATATAAGCCTAACCAGTGGTCACGGACAACAGGGGGAGGGGCATACGTGGGGAGGGGTTTGGGATGGAAATGGGGGGATGAGGACAATTATGTGATACCATAATCAATAAAATAAATAAATAAAAACATCATTGGGTTGGCGTGGGGGGGGGGGGAGGAGGCAGAGGATGCTGGGCTGCCAGGATCCCTGAGGCCCATTCCTATGTGTGAGATTGGACTTTCAGCACTTTAACCCTCAGAAGTGCTTCTTGGGAGGCACAAGGCAGGTGGTGCACCGATGCCCAGGACACTGCTGAGTGTTTGTCAGGGTAACAAGAGGGCCATATGTGTTACCAGGAGGGGCGGGGGCAAGGGTGGGGGCACGGTCCGGGCAACCTGCTCTCCTGGAAGTTTTCCCAGACCCATGTTTGAAAGATGTCCAGCACTGAGATGACTTCCAGAGTGCAGCTACATTTATCAGTAGCTTGGCCATTTTCATCACAAGAGGTTGCTAGGGATTTGAGAAGCCTCACCTGCATGACTTTTCCCTGGATGGGCTCGAGGCTTCTGTGGTATCAGGGTGAGCATCAAATAGTCTATAATTTTTAAATATATATGTATATTTTTTATTGATTTCAGAGAGGAAAGGAGAGGGAGAGAGAGATAGAAACATCAATGATGAGAGAGAATCATTAATCGGCTGCCTCCTGCACTCCCCACATTGGGGATTGAGCCTGCAATCCAGGCATATAAATTGAATCCTGGTTCAAAGGCCAATGCTCAACCATTGAGCCACACCGGCCTGGCAGGTAGTCTACATCTTATCAGCTCCCTCACTCCCCAGGTCCCCATCAGAGTAAGAGCAAAACTTAAAATTGCCAGAGGAACTCCATCCGGGAGCAGCTGTAATTACACTATTGAGCTAATTAACCATTTTCCTTTTTTTTTTCTTTTTTCTTTTTTAAGGACTACATTATTTCAAAGAGGCCAATGATGAAAAGGTTTGGCAATAGGGGATTGGTGTGCTGGGGGAGAAGCGGTGGCTAGGGTCCTGGTCCTGTTTGCCTTGGGGTATTTCTGTCATTGCTGGCCAGTTAGACCACGGTCCTCTATGGAGCGCATCCCAAGACGCCCCCACTTCACATGAAGGCTCCACCCATGATGGGGTGTGTGTCTCACGTGAAACAGGCATTCCTTGATGGTGTGTGGGAAGCGGAAGAGCCATCAAATCTGTCTGCAGCCCTAACCAGTTTGGCTCAGTGGATAGAGCGTCGGGCTACGGACTGAAAGGTCCCAGGTTCTATTCCGGTCAAGGGCATGTACCTTGGTTGCGGGCACATCCCCAGTAGGGGGTGTGCAGGAGGCAGCTGATGGATGTTTCTCTCTCATCAATGTTTCTAACTCTATCCCTCTCCCTTCCTCTCTGTAAAAAAAAAATCAATCATACACACACACACACACACACACACACACACACACAGAGGCCTTCCTTTAGGTCAGGGCCAGGTGCTCACCTTTTGAGTCCTTTGGGAGAGGAGAGGAGAGGCACGCTCGCCTTTGGCACTGACATGTGGCCGGCTGGCCACTGGGCCAGGTGGTACCACCCACAGCCTCGAGGCCCCCCGGCCCCCAGGATTGAACCAAGGGCTGCCGTGGCCTGTGGCCCAGCTCAGCCCTGGAAGGCACTGGCAGCCTTCGTCCCCGCCCCCACGAACAAGTCGCTCAGAACTTTTTCCAGGTCCCTCCGGAGAAAGGGACGCCCTTTAGGGTAGGGGTCGGTCGCCATCACAGCATAGACAGCTGCCTCCCACCCCAAAAAAACTCTGGGAATGTAGGCAACACGGGCCAGACCGCCAACCCCCAGCTTGCTGAGGGCTCCTGGCTCCACAGGTGGGGCCTCACAGCCCTTGGGGTCTCCGGGGCCTGCTCACAGGGCTTTCCTAGACCGCTGAATGTGGACAGCATCTAATCATTCCTTCTGGCCTGTCCTGCCTACATTTGCAACAGAATCGTCTTTACTGTGTGGTGGTTTTTTTTAACACTCTGGGCATTTCAGAGCCCTTTGAGAGCTGACAAGCTGTGAGCCTCTCGCCTTCACCATGTAGAACACATAAGCCTGTGCGCCCCGACCTTGGCAGCCATGGCCGCCTCCACACCATCACGTGTTGGGGTCAAGGGCGGGTGCCTTCTCTGAGCTGGGGGATTTTTTTCCTCTCTCAGTACGCTCTGTGGAATATGATTTCACCATCGAATGCCTTGTGAGAGTTTCTCCCCTGGGCCCCGTTTTGCTTTTTAGCATGATTCCGTATTTTAGTAGCAAAATGATTTTTTTTAAATATATATTTTATTGATATTTTACAGAGAGAAAGGGAGAGAGATAGAGAGCTAGAAACGTCGATGAGAGAGAAACATCGACCAGCTGCCTCTTGCACACCCCCTACCGGGGATGTGCCCGCAACCAAGGTACATGCCCTTGACCGGAATCGAACCCGGGACCTTTCAGTCCGCAGACCAACGCTCTACCACTGAGCCAAACCAGTTTCAGCGCGAAATGATTTCAGTGGCGACCGCGTCCGTGGCCTCCCAGCCGTAGCAGTGAGTCAACTGTCACCTCACGCCTCAGGTGGTCTGCAGCGTGCTTAGGAATGGTTGTGTTCTCCACATTTCTCCCGTTTCCGTAGCAAAGGAGAATGTGTACAGCGACGGGCGTCCAGGCAGACCCCAGGTCAGAGTCTGACCAGAGATTCTGCACCCAAACCCCTGCCCAGGGACCACCCGCCCCTTCTCCCTCCCTCTTTCCCTCCCTCCCTGGCTCTCCTGCTGGTCCCAAGAGTTTTGCCCCCTGATAATTGTCCTGGGCCTATTCCTGGGAGTCGTTTTCCACCTGATTTGTGGATTTCCATGTAGGATTCTTTGTGAGTCCCTCGGTAGGAACAGTGTGGCTGCTGAAGAATCACAGTTGAATGTTAAATGGCGTTACTGTTGGCAGCCTTCCCTGAAATAGCCGCAGTTTGTGAGTGGGACTTAGACCAGAGCAGGTGAGGGTGGCCTGCCGTCCCCGGTGCTCTGGATGCAGCCATGGGCACTCGGCACCGGAGCTGTGGAGGAGAGGAGGAGCTGGGGTCCAGAGAGAGCCTGCCCAAGGCCGTGCTGCGTGGCCTCGAACTCCACCCACACACGTCCGTGGCCCTGCTTCGCGCACATGGGCTGCGCATCTCCTGCCCGTCACTAGGCAGCTGGCACTTGTGGGCCCAGGATTCATTATTGCCCCCGAAGTAGCCCTGTCCTCGAGACCATTGGGCTCTCATCGTTGCCCCCTGGTGGCCAACCGTGGTTCCCTATTATCCGGACTTTAGACCAGAGCCCCATCCCCTAGCCAGGCTGCTCCCCAACCCCCCACACCCCTTTGTGGTTGAGGCAAAGGCAGGTGATGAAGTTGGACCGAGATGCTGAAAAGGTAACGATATTCTGGAAAAAATAATAATAATAATAATAATAATAACACGCTTCCCTGCTTGTGCTTACTTTAAGGAACCCGGCACGCTCCAACATCCTCCTGACCTGTTTTTCCCAATAGTAAACACATTGGTCCAGGCAAGCGCTTTTCTCGCTAAAATTTCCCGTTTCGTGTCCCCCTCTGAGGCGTATTAACGATGGTCTCCTTTCTCTCTAGCCTATTAGTAACGCTGACTTTATTGTTCCGGTGGAAATCGATGGGACGATACATCAGGTAAGAAATCACAGCTTAAAATCAGAGTTTCAGTGAGCGTGTTTGAGTCATTACATTTCCTCTGGACCTTCTCCTAACTTCCCGTTTCAGGAATAATCTCATTACCGAGTCAGAAGGAAGCGAGCTTGGTCAAGTAGATACAGTGGTTTCCTGCTCTTCTTCTTTTCTCTCGTAAAGGTGCCGTACCCTGAGTGTGTAAGGGAGATTATAAATATTAGATGCGGCTGCAAGTTCAAGTCGTTCTTTGACTTGATGCAGACATTTAGAAGTTTCCGTGCCCCGAGCTCGCCTCGCCTGAGGGTCTAATTAACTTCCCCGGGTAATTGCTTTCGGCTACTCCCCTAGCAGGCGGCAGGACAAGGCCACACAGGGGCCACTTAGGGTGGATTCGTCCGTTCCCCATGCCGGCCGCTCCAGCCTGACCTTGTTCTCCGGTGAATCTCCAGCCAAAACCCGACTCAGAGAGAGGGGGCGGAGGGTGTGAGCTTGGGATCCGCGGGAGGCGTTGCATCCAGAGCCCAGTCCATTGGCTTGCATCTTTGTCCTGATTGTTTCTCTCCTTATCTGCATGAACCGGGAGTAGCTTCATTTATGAACATCTTGGAAACATTGTAGGAAAAGTTAGCTTTGAAGGCTGCAGAGGCTCTGGGGGGGGGGGGGGGTTCCCACAGGGGGGATCTGACCATCTGTCTTCCTGTCAACCCCGCGGTCCTAAAGTGGGAGTCTCTGGCCTGATAGTTCACATCCCAGGAAGCGATCTCTCCCTCCTTACCCCCCCTTCTCTCTCCCCGCCCCCCCCCCCTCTCCTTGACCCATAACAGGATGTGTCTCCTTAGCAATGCCGGTAGCCTCTGGTCCTTGAGGGGAGGGTGTCGGAACTGCCAAGGCCCTAGGAATCAGCCGCTGCTCATGTCCAGATGGGGACACGGAGGCTCAGCCAGAGAAAGCGTTGCCTCGAGGGCATGCAGCATAAAGAATGAAAATGGGACTCTTCCCCTCACCCTCATTCCCTCTCCTGCCTGCCAGGAGGGCCCTGCCAGGAAGCCGCCCCTGGAAAAGCCTGGAAAAGGCGGCGTTGTCCCTAGCATCTCCACACTCCGTGCTTTTAAAAGCCATCCGAGGAGCCTAAACGGCAGGCCCTGGGGCATTTAACATTTGCCACGGCATCCACTGAATTAACTTGGCCTCTGAGAGGGAGGCAGTTAAGGCTGCTGCACTTGCTATCTTGGCTCATGTTACAAAGTAATGAGCCGGAGGCGAGGCTGCCCACTGGCACGGCAAGAATGAGGAGAGACATCCATACCTCGTGACTATGAGCGAGCGTGACCCTCGGGGCCTGGTCTGCGAGGGCCAGACCCTTCTAGAAGGAGCCAGCCCGGCTCCCCCAGCCCCCCTGCAGACCGTTCTGAGACCCCCAGGGCGCCGGCGCGGGGTTCAAACACACTCCGTCCTGAGGGAATGGAGCCACAGGCGCCGAAAGGAGGACCAGAGCCCTGGCGAGGCCGTGGCCTCGTTCAAGTAATCCAGGATAGGCTGTGCAGGTCCCGATGGGCCTATTCTCGGTTACTTGCACGGGGACGCGGGCCTGGACGCCGGCATCCGGGCCCCGGACCCTCCTCTCTGCCGGAGGCGCCAACACCAGAGTTCCCAGAGCAGCCTCCTGCCCTGGGCCGGTGTCGAAGCTTACTTCCCAGGCAGCCTTCCCGGGGACACCGAGGACCCCGGGCCACGCCATCCCTGCACCAAGAGGCTCCTGGGCAGAGCGCGCCTGGAGCTGCCGCAGCCGCTGGGCCCGCCCTCAGCCCCCACCCGGCCTCCCAGCCCCGCAGGCCCCTCAGCGCACCCTCGGCCACAGACCCATGCTCGCTTTCCTCTTTCGGTCGGCCGCGAATCTTCCCACCAAGTCCTGGCTCTGTAGATTGTCTGTGTGCCCCAGCCAAGGTGGCTCAGTGGTTGAGCATCAACCTATGAACCAGGGGGTCATGGTTCCATTCCCAGTCGGGGGATATTCCCGGGTCTGTGAGCTCCATCCCCAGTAGGGGGCGTGCAGGAGGCAGATGATCAATGATTCCCTCTCATCGTGGATGTGTCTATCTCCCCCTCTCTTCCTCTCTGAAAACAATAAAAATATGTGTTGTTGTTGTTGTTGTTGCTTTAAGTAATTCCTGTGTGGTGCAGAGCTCCCTGTCTCCCTGCTGTCCCTCCTCTGTAGGATGTCCAACCCCGTCCATCTGCCGGAATTCAGGGCCCGCATACTCGCTCCCACCTGGCTCTCACACTTCGTCTTCGGCCACTTCTCCTAGCCCCCATCTCCTGTCTTCGACGGTTGTCGCTGGAGGGCTGGTCGCACCTGCCGTTCTCTGGCACCCCACGTGTTTCCGGTCCAGGTCTCATGCTTAACCTCGGTTTCCTCTGCTGGGGAGCTCGCTTCTCCTTGCTGGCCTGGCGAACTCCTCTTCATCCGTCAAGGTCCAGGCCACGCATTACCGTCTATGATTCCCTCCCCTTCAGAGGGCAACCGATGGTGCTCAATGTACGCCTGTGCTGTCCCTCCGGCTGCGCGTGCGTATGTTGGTACATGTTTGTGCGGGTCTGCTCTGGGCTGTGAGCCCTCAAAGGGCCAGGCCTGGGTGGCCCTCCTCTTTGGAACGGCTTCGGGCAGAGCACAGCGCCGAGGCTCCGTGAACACAGGCCGAACTGGATTTTAACACGTCTGATTTATTTTAGGGACGTGGCTGATTTCGAATGGAATTTATTCAGGTTTTAATGACTTCTTCCCGCCTCCTTCCGCCTCTGTCTCTGCTCACCAGCGTTGCCTTCCTGACCATCTCCCCGTTTCCCCAGATTTGTTCGGGCTCCCCTGTCCGGAGCACAAGGCTCCGACCCTCTAGAAAGCAAGCGCTTTGCCCCTCAGCTGGGCGGCCCCTCCTGATGGCCTGTGTGTGGGGCCTGGGATTCGGCTGTTTCACGTCCCCCGAACCGTTCATTTCTGTTCCACACCCAGGCGCTGGGCCTTCGTGGAGTCCACAGTGCCGGCTCACGCCCACAAGGAAGGCACCTCCTCCGGGGGCTTCCCAGCGAGGGAGGGGTTCCCCCGGAGGCCCTGCCGGGCCAGGCCTGGACCTCCAAAGGCGCCCCTCACCGTGGCCTGGGCCCACACGCCGCCTCACCCCGAGCGTGTGCCCAGAAACACAGGGACACGAATGACTCGTTTCTCGCAAACAGGGCCTGGCCCTCCCATCCCCTGGGTCTGAAAATCCCAGGCCCTCAGGTCCCTGCTCAGCCCTCCTTTCTCTCTTAGGGGGGGGGGGGGGGAGTGGAGGGCGCAGGGGGACACTTTGTCACCAGACTCAGACCCGGAGGCCAGTCTGCGCGTGCGTCTGGCGTGACGTGCCGCCCCAGAGCACCAGCCCCTGGTAAGGTCTGGGTCTTCATCCTGCTCATCCTTCACCCTAGGAGCCCTCCCTGCACTGGCGCTCAGACCCGGGCCATGCCCGGTGCCCGTTCTAACGCCGCCCTCGGCTTCCTGCCGTTGCAGGTGTACGTGCTGAAGCGGCCGCACGTGGACGAGTTCCTCCAGAGGATGGGCCAGCTCTTCGAGTGCGTGCTGTTCACTGCCAGCCTGGCCAAGGTGCGTCCGGCCCCAGCCCGCTCTCCCCGCCCCTCCGCCCCTACCCCTGTCTGCCACACAGCCCTGCGGCAGCGTGGGGGAAGCTGTTTCCATGGTGACACATTCCCACCCCAGATGGGATGGATGCAGGCTCTGGGCACAGTGCCAGCCTGAAAGGCTTCCGGGTTTCCATGGTGACAGGGAGCACTCAGAGCAAATGCTCCGTGAAGTTGCTGCGCGCAGCCGCCTGCAGCTGGTGGTCCACAGAACAGGAAGTCACAAATGTGTCCCAAGTAGCCAGGAAGGGTGTCTGCATCTCACCTGTTGGCTGGCAACCACCTGCTAGGGGCTCAGGCCGCTGTGCCCTCCGGTGAGTTGCACGGGTCTAGGGGAGAGGTCGGTGCCAGCCTCTGACCCTCGTACCCGGGCCCAGGGAGCGTTCTGAATGCGCTCATGAGGACCGTGACCTCCGGCAAGTTACTTCGCCGCTCGCCTCTGTTTCTACTCGTCCGGGATCATTTTAATCTGCCCCGTGGGGTGGATCAAAGGAAGGCACGTGAAGGGCTTGATTCATATCCTGAAGGACTCACGGGTACCTGCTGTGTCCGTGTGCTCCACTGGGCGCTGTCCGGGGGCACGTGCTCTGGCGTCATTGTTACCGTATTTGTCATGAGGATAAAGTAGTCCACCTGTTTGGACCCTGTAGCTGGGTGTGAACCTCTGACTCAGCGTCTACATTGGCTCTGAGCGAACAGTGCTTTCTTTGCCCTCTCCCACTGTTCACAGGACCCTGAGATGGTTTAGACTACCCATCAGCTGGTGCGCTGAGGTGCCTGTGCTTGTGGGCCAGACAGGCAGGCCCCACTCCTTACTCTTGTGGGCTAAACCGAGTATGCGGTCTCGGGAAGACGTAATCTTCCCCCACATGCACCCTTTTCGAGGAACGATACCGAGTCTGACTGTAGTACAGGCTCTCCTGCCAGGGCCCTGGGTGCGGAGGGGCCCCAAGTGACACCAGAGAAACAACCAACAGGAAGCTTGCACCGGTGACCGGTGACGGTGGGCTGCGGGCTGCTTTTTCTTTGGCAAAACTGAAAGTGCTCCTCCTCCTTGGCACTGCCCCCAGCACCCACATCCACATCCTTGTTCCGTCTCTTTTTCCTGGACGGCTCCCACCTGTCCCTCCATCTGTCTCTCCACCTCCTCCCGCTGCTGCTCCAGCCGGGCCCAGCCTTCCAGCCTCTTTCCTCCCTGATACCAGCCCAAGCTGTGCTGGCAGGTGGGCGCTCCCCAGTGCTTGGCTCTGGACCCAGCTCCCAGCCAGCTCCATTGGTGCCGTGACCTCCTGGCCCATCGCCCGGGGCCAACAGGAACCCTGAGCCGCCTGGCAGAGCCCTTCAGCGCCTGCATCCTCATCTTCGTTTCCTCCACTCACCCAGTCCCCCAGCAAGTATTTACGTAGTACCTACTGTGTGCCCAGCACTGTAGTAGGCCCTGGGCGATAGCAGAGAGCTAGAGATGCTGTCCCAGGCCTCAGAAAGCTTATCTTCCCCAGGCCTACTGGTCAGCAGACTATGGCTCGCCGCAAGCCACATGCGGCTCTTTGGCCTTTGGAGTGTGGCTCTTGCACAAAATACCACGGCCTGGGCGAGTCTATTTTGAAGAAGAAGCGTTAGGAAAAGTTCAAAATGTGGCTCTCAAAAGAAATTTTAATCGTTGTCCTGTTGGTATTTGGCTCTGTTGACTAATGCGTTTGCCGACCACTGCCCAAGCCCATCTCCAAGGCCTGAGGCCCTAGGCCTGGACACGCAGTTGAAAGATGCATGCCATGACCAGCGTCAGCGATGGTGAGGACGGTCATCATCTTTGCCACGTGGAAAGCTGCAGTGCCCCAAGCGCTCACCCCCCTGTCAGCAGGAGGTACAGCTGCTCCTGGGCTCGGCCTCCCTCACGAGGTCCCTGAAGAGAGGCTGGTCATGGCATCAAAGCTGCCGCCTGTGGCCCTGCAGCCCTGCTGGCGGCTGCTCTGCCCTCGGGCTGCGGCCCTTCCCTGCCAGCCTTCCCAGCACCGCCAGCCGCGGTTACTTTCTGCCGGGCCCCTGTAGCAGAGGGGCAGGGAGATGGACAAGAACTCCGGACGGGTTGGGTAAGGGAAGTGAGGGAAGCGGAAGAACCCAGGGTGTCTTACACGTGCAGAGGAAATATAACCAGAATCCTGAAACTTCCGCTGGCGTTCCTCCCTTTTGAGGAAAGCAGACTGCGTCTCGCTGCGGTGGGTCAGGGTTCCTGGGCTCTCGGGCGCCAGCCTTCATTGCGACGCCTGCCTTCCAGTACGCAGACCCCGTGGCCGACCTGCTGGACCGCTGGGGGGTGTTCCGGGCCCGGCTCTTCAGAGAATCCTGCGTTTTCCACCGAGGGAACTACGTGAAGGACCTGAGCCGCCTGGGACGGGAGCTGAGCAAAGTGATCATCGTGGACAATTCTCCGGCCTCGTACATCTTCCACCCTGAGAACGCAGTAAGTGGCTCCATCGGAGCTCTGTCTTCTTTTTCTTTCTTATGTATTTTTTTTATTGATCGAGCCCGCAACCTGGCCATCTGCCCTGACCGGAATCGAACCGTGACCTCCTGGTTCAGAGGTCGATGCTCAACCACAGCTTGCCCGGCCGTACCGTCCAGCACCTATACAAGGTCTCTTGGCCTTTTCGGCGGTGAAATCCCAACGCTGCCACTTAGCCACTGCCTGACATTGACCCGGTGACTTAACCTCCGGCAGGAATGCGGACCTCATAGGATTATTGGAGGAGTCATTGTGGCAATACATGCAGAGCACTGCCCTCGGTGCTGACGGTGCATCAGTGCTCAGTGGGCCTGCGTCTTAGCATCTTTGGGACAGTTCCCCAGAATGGCCCTGTCTGTCACGAACCTCCTGGAGCTGGCTGCTGCCTAGGACTTAGGGCCCCCGTAGACTCAGGAGGCCCTGGTGACATCTTCAGCAGAAGTAGTTCCTGAACAGGAATGAATAAAACACCGTCATAAGGTCTCCCCAGGCTGCCAGGCTTTCCTGCCTCGCAGCGATGTGTGACACGTGTACAATGGGAGCATGTCCTACCGAAAACTCCCTGGAGCTGGCAGCTCCCCTGCAGACCCCCTGGGTGCAGCACGACTCAGAACAAGATGCCTCCTAGGCCCCGCATGGCCACAGAGGAGAGGTCAGCCCGGCCTCTCAGGCTCAGCAGAACTTTGCTGCTCCGCTGATCATGTAAAAATGAGTTCAGACCAGATTCAGTTAGGGTGTAATCATCCTTTTAATCAACTCGTTATATTTAAACATGCTCATTGTAATGAGTCAGTCACATTCAACATAATTCATTTTAGGTCTCTTAACAGAGAGGGGCGGCTTTTTAATATAATCACGATTCCGTGATCGCATCTGACACAACGAACAGTTTCTCCCACCTCGCGTCCAGACCGCATCCATGGACTCCCAGTTCCCTCGAAATGCTTTCTTAGGTTTGGTTTGACTCAGAATCCAAACGGGACGTTTGCTTAGTAGGTCTCTTACTTCTTGCATAACCTTAACGACACGTCTTCCCCTCCCCCCTCACCGTCTTCATGCCTTTTGTTTGTTGAGGAAATTTTGGCTACTGGTCTCGTAGAAATTTCCTACGTTCTGGATTTGTCTGATTGCAGCCTCACGGTGGTGGGTTGATATGTTTTTGCAGCCAGTATCTTTTCTTTCTTAATATATTTTTAATGATTTCAGAGAGGAAGGGAGATGGGGAGAGAGAGAGAGAGAGAGAGAGAGAGAGAGAGAGAGAGAGAGAGAAGCATCAATGATGAGAGAGAATCATTGACCGGCTGCCTCCTGCACACCCCACACTGGGGATCGAGCTGCAAGCAACCCAGGCATGTACGCTGACCAGGAATCAAACCGTGGCCTCTTGGTTCGTAAGTCAGTGCTCAACCACTGAGCCACGCCAGCCGGGCAGTATATTTTCTTTAACACAAAGTTAGATCACTACTTCTTAATTAAACTCAGGTTCGGTTTTCCTTTTCCCCCCCAAGAATATGTCATAGGCGGTATTGTGTGCCTTTGGGGTATCACCTCAGGAGACAGGATCTCAGGTTGTCCCACTTTTAAAGATTTTAAATTGATCTTTGGATTCAGGTGGTGTTTGCCAGATTCGTCCATTTTAAAATTTTCCTCCCCCCCAATCTTTTGTCCTAAAAATATAAGCAGCCATTGATCATGGCCTACACCCGTGGTCCTCAAACTGTGGCTCTCGAGCCACATGCGGCTCTTTGGCCCCTTGAGTGTGGCTCTTCCACAAAATACCACGGCCTGGGCGAGTCTATTTTGAAGAAGTGGCGTTAGAAGAAATCTAAGTTTAAAAAATGTGGCTCTCCAAAGACATTTCAATCGTTGTCCTGTTGATATTTGGCTCTGTTGACTAATGAGTTTGCTAACCACTGGTCTACACCCACTGCTTCATCAGGAATTGCAAAACACTTCATCATCCTTTCTGCATTCGTTGGCTGGGATTCTAATTTTATTTTTATTTTTATTACACTTGCCCTTATTGACGGCTTCCGTACCCTAAAGTTCAGGTTGAATGTTTGACTAGGGAAGGCAGGCTAACATCTTGGTTCTTTGTCTTTACGTCTACAATTTCAGAACAATGAGGTGGAGCTCTAGCAACTTCCAAAGGCAGCCAAGGACATTCTGTTGGCGGTGGTGCCATCGTGAACTCGTGGACTTTTTTATTGTTACAGTTTAATCCATTTATCATTCTTCTGTTTGCTTAAGCATTCCGCTTTGGCTGGCAGACACCCCTTCAAGTAGCAATTAGTCTTCGATAGCTTCCTACTCTCTGGTACAACAGGATGTTCCGGAATCCTCTTATCCATTTCTTCCTTCAGCCCTGAAATCAGCCATTTTTCTCTGGAGCCGGGTTCCTGTCAGTGGAGAGGGTATTTGGAGACCACACTGGGGGGGAGGGGGTGTGCAAAGGGGGCAGTTCTCATTGTTACTGGAATGTCCTTTGCTTCTAGTTCTTTCTACTGGACAGAGCTAACATACACATATTTTTTGAAGTGCAAACTAAATCATAAATTCACCTGGGTTTTTCCCAGTGTTTTTACTTCATTTCCTTCTTTGGTTTCTGTATTTTTCTCTGTTTTAGGCTAAAACTCTTGATCTGTAAAGATACCCACATCATTAATATTTTATTTATTTTCTAGTATATCCCTAATAATTTCAAAAGAGCAGTACTAATGTCATTGCTAAAAGTAAGACAATTTGATACCTTTTAGGGTTTGGGGGAGAGATGTGCAGACAACACTTCGTTTTGAAATTACTGGAAATCATTCTGTGTGATCATGGCACCAACATTGTCCACACTGAGCTCTGAGGTGCAAGGCGTTGGCTTGATGGAAAGAGCAGCAAGTAGCAAGGCCAGTTCTTACGTGTCCTGCGCTCCGGCCACCCCCTCTGCAGCAGGGAAACAAAACAGGCAAAGGCATGCAAGCTGGGTCCCCAGGACCCGCCTTCCTGAGCCACTGCCCCTACCAGGTTGCTTTGGGTTGGGCGGGGGAACAGACAAAGCGATGGTAGTGCCCTAACTAGTTTGGCTCAGTGGATAGAGCGTCGGCCTGCGGACTGAAAGGTCCCAGGTTCGATTCCGGTCAAGGGCATGTACTTTGGTTGCGGGCACATCCCCAGTGGGAGGTGTGCAGGAAGCAACTGATGGATGTTTCTCTCTCATCTAACTCTCTATCTCTGTAAAAAAATAAAATAAAATAAAATACGTTTAGCCAAAACCAGTTTGGCTCAGTGGATAGAGCATCGACCTGTGGACTGAAAGGTCCCAGGTTCGATTCCGGTCAAGGGCATGTACATTGGTTGCAAGCACATCCCCAGTAAGAGGTGTGCAAGAGGCAGCTGGTCGATGATTCTCTCTCATCGATGTTTCTAACTCTCTATCCCTCTCTCTTCCTCTCTGTAAAAAATCAATAAAAAAGTATATTTTAAAAATAAATTCATTAATTAATTAAATATGTTTAAAAAGAAAAAAAGGTGACAGTGGTGGTGATGGCTCGATGCCCGGCCTCCTTACCGAAGAGAATGTTCTGTTCGTAAGAAAGCAGGCCCCCGGTCAGGCTGGGAGCCGCCGCCCTCCCGCAGGCCTGCTGCCCTCCTCCCGCGTCCTGTCTTCCAGGTGCCGGTGCAGTCCTGGTTCGATGACATGACGGACACGGAGCTGCTGGACCTCATCCCGTTCTTCGAGGGCCTGAGCCGGGAGGACGACGTGTACAGCGTGCTGCACAGGCTCTGCAATAGGTAGCCCCGGCCGCCGGCCGCCGCCCCTGCCGCTGCACTCGGACCCGGGCCCTGGGGACCCGCCCGGACTCCGCTCCCCAGGAGCCGAAGTGAGGACCCGCCGCGCTCCAGGCCACGGGGTGAACGTGGCCAGACCTACCTGCTTTATTTTTTAGAAACAGAAGACAAAACTATTTTACAAGCGAAACTCTTTTAACGAATTTCATAAAGGGACGTGCATTTTACTGGATTTGCTTTTCTTAAAACATACCAAAAAGGGAAGAAAAAAAAGGAGGAGGAGAAGAAGAAAAAAAGAAGAAAAAAAAAGGCTTGATATCTCTCAGACTTCCTTTCAACTGTCTTCCCTTCCCCCCCCTGCAGACAGCCTGCCTCCTCCTACCCCAGCTCGGAGCAGCTGACCAGAATCTCCTTCCTCCGGGATGAAGTGCCTTTTCCGGATGTTATTTTACGCCGAGAGTTAATTTTTCTATACAGCATATTTCCAGACATCTTTTAGTCTTTTATTATCTCAGATTCTCTATCAAGATAAAGAGGACAATTTTCTAGAAACTAGGGGGGTGAGGGGGGAGGAGGCAGGGTCTGAGAGTGAGTCCGGGAGGCTGTCTCCCAGCAGGTGGCACGCGGCAGCACCAGGCGCCTGGTGGGAGCTTGTGTGACCGCGTGCGCGTCTCTGTGCGTGGCTGACCCCGTGGGGGACGGGTCTGCCATCGTGCGGCCCCACACTTGGGGGAGCAGCCGATGGTTTTATGTGAGGATGGTTTCGGATGGTGACAGATGGGTCTTGGGAGGTCACATTTTCCCCTTGAAAAGGGGGCATCGTGTCACTCCTGCTTTCACACGACTGCCATACTCGTATGTGCTTTGTGTTCTGTGTGTGTGTGTGTTGTTTGGGGGTAGAGCAGTTCCCCGAAATCTCAGACCCTTGCATCTAAGAAAGAAGAGGAAATCTGTGTATTGATGTTTTTAAATCTTTCCTTCCCAAAAGCTGGATACCCACGGAGCTGATGGGGAATGTTCTTTGCTGCTACCGCGCTGCCACCAAATGGAATTGACCAGCGGCTGTTCCACTGTTCTTTGCCACTGTGCCTCTGCTCAGAGCCCGCTCCCTGCTACGCTGCGCACTCCACAGGGTTAGGAGCCGGTGTCCCACCCCGTGGCGGGCTGGGCCCCCTGCCCCCGGCCACGGCCACGGCCACGGGTATTCAGAAGGGCGCAGAGAGGGCCAGCACACCACCCAAGGCGGTGCTCATTCAACACCCGATGCCGTGATTGGCCGCCTGTTCTCTCTCCGGAGAACCCGTGGCCTCAGCCATCCACCACCTGATGTGGCCCCAAGGCCATCTCGTGGTCTTCTCTTCCGAAGCACAGCCTGTCTCTGAGCCGGGGGGTGGGGAAGCCTGAACAGACGTGGGGCTCATTGTCCTGAGTCCGGGAGAGGAGGGCCCCTTCCCGGGGCCGGGGCCCCCTCCGCCGTCTCGCCCGGGGAGACGCTTTAAGCGGTGCCATGTTCCTTGTGTGACAGCGAGCCTAGCACGTCCGGCTCTGACAGGTCATTCCCGAAGAACCCCCTCGCTCACCAGCACCGCTGCCTTAGTCCTCCTCCCTGTGGGTGGGGCCTCCGCCGGAGTTCCAACAAGACTGGAAATGGGGTGTCAGAGTCTAATTTCTTTTTGGCTGCCATTCACAACATGGGGAAGCCAGCTGCCAATCGCGTCCTCCCGACAGCACCTGGGTCTGTGGACTGCCCGGCTTTCGTAAGTTAAGTGTTCAGGCGTCACCAGGTCCCCCCCACATCCTGAATATTCCGAACCCAGGAGCCCACATGCCAGCTCACACAGGAACGCCCCCTCGCCGGGCGTGGCCACAGACGGCGGCAGGGGCGTGGCAGAGCTGCCCGTGCCAGGCACCTTGACTGGGGAAACTCCCGTTACACGAACCCGCTGCCTTAAATGTCTTCTTGAATGTTTCGGTCCGGCGTCTGCCCTGTGTCAGAACCCACACAGAACGCGGTCCTGCGGAGAGCCTTAGACCCTCCCCTGCGCCCCTCCGTTGTAGGGCATCACAAGGTTCTTGTTTGCGGGGGGGTGGGGGGGGAGACAGGGAGGACAAATTCTAGAATATTCCAGGGGATTAGAACCTAGAAGTAGTGCCAGGTGGAGTGGAGACACTTGGCCCAGTGGTTCCTGGAACCAAGCGTGCCATGCTCTGGCCCAGGGCGGAGGGGCCGGGGGTGGAGCCCGCTCCTGCCACGCGGACACAGAAATGCTCGGGAGGCCCAGTCCGCCCTCCGCGGGTTCTGGGTTCTGTGCACCTTATCGGACCACACTCCAGAGTCCCGTTTTTTTTATTTGAATCCTTGATTCCGCTTTATGTACATAAAATCAAAATAAAGTATCTATATATCTATATATATATATATTTTTAATCATCTACCTGCAAATGAAGCAATAGATTTCTAAATGTAAGGCCAAGAAATGAGATGAATGTGTGGGGTCTATGTTTTCTAAGGTAAATACGGGTATTGTTTTTGATGATTACCTTTCATTCAATCGTGGGCTTTAAGAACTGAATTGAAACCGATTCGCTATTTCTCCGTGCCATATACTTCCCACGGTACCAAAAGATCCCTAACTCTTTAGCCACAAGAGGAACCTGACCTCCTGAGTTCCCATGATTCCTCTGTACCAGGCCAAAACACAGACTTGTGGACAAGTATTGTTTTTCCGCTAGGGTCTGGGCCTGGGTACCTTAGGTGGGGATCTGTGGCCCCTCGGATGCCCTGTCGCTGCCCGGGGCCTCGAGAGGAGGTGCCCAGGCACGTCCGAGGCTGTTGCCGCTCTGTCTGCCATCGCTCTGCGGTCCTGCGTGTTGGTCCGTGGTTTTTCCCATCCGCTGTTTGTCAGCTGTGCGTTTGAATCCCGGGAAAGGACACCACCCATCATGGCGGATAGTCGGTGGTGAGGAAGCTCTTTTTGACGGTGCCATTTCGATGAGACGACTTGGGAGATGACAGGCGACGCCCTCGTGACACTGACGGGTCACGGTGGCAGCATTGGAACTTTGGGTACATAAAAAAAAAGAAGAAAAAGAAATCTGTGAGTCTACAGCCTGGCAACGTGTTACAGCAACCCTGCCTCGTAAGGATAAGGATGGCTTTCTGATAAAACCCAGAGCCACACAGCCCCGTGGTCAAACACTCGTGACGTCTGTGCCTCTGCTGCTCACGGTGCTGGGACGGACAGCGGCACGCAGGGAGGCATGGACAGCTCGAAGCGCTCGCCATTAGTGGCCTGGGCGAGGCCCGCTGGCTGCCCCTGTCCCTGTGGTACTGCAACTTGATGGTGTCTGTTCCTGCTCCGTTCTCCAGGGAGCGTCTCCCAGACCAGCACCCTGCCTCCCCCCCGCCCCTGCCCAGGTAGTGGAGATGCTGGTGTCTGGGTGGCCATGGGTTTCTGTCGGGCATTTGAATGTGAGGAGCAATCCAGCGCTACTCGGGGAATACTACATGTGGAATGTGCACGTGTCAGGGGTGAGCCTTGTTAGTCAAGAGGTTTGCGATGATTTCCTGCCTGCCTGCCAAAAATAAACACGTGAAACCGCGCCCTCTTGTGGATGGACTGCTTCTCTACAGGTAGCGCCTGTCGTCACTCCATTCTTGATTCTCTACCCTCTGCCCAGCCTATGCCAGCGCCTTGGGTCTCCTGGAGGATAGGAGCCCCGGACCACGAGGGGAGCGAGCAACGTGTTCTGCCCGAGAGTAGGCCCCCTGCTGTCAGAAGCAGCCTGGCTCAGCATCCCCCCACAAGGATGCCAGCCCTTTTCCAAATGCAGCCCCCAACCCATCCCACCCCATGAGAGCCACAGGCACCTTGTGTGCCTAAACCCATAGCCCTGGGGCACCCTGGCTGAGATGCTGGGATTCCCAGGTTCTGTCTGTCACAGGGATACAGGGTTCTGCCAGGCAAGTGACTCATCCCAAACAGCACAGGGAACATAATAGTCACCCAGAGACAAAGCCAACCCCCCCCCCCACAGCCAGCATGTGCTGTGCCCCAAGGCGCCCTCCACCGCTGCCCTGCCAGAGAGATCACCCCAGTTTCCTCCCCTGGTCCTGGGCTCTGGCTGTGTCCCTGGCCCTCTCCGCCGCCTCTCCCCTCCCTCTCTGGCATTGCCCGCACCCCCAACGGCTTCTCACCTTTGCCTTGCAAGCAGACAGACAGATGGTGGGCAACCGTGGCTGCCAGTGAAGCTACTTGGGACTTGGGCATCCTGAGATTTCACCTCCTGATTTGTGTGTTTCTTTGTCTGAGCACTCACCACCGGTGTATGTTGCAGGACCAAGGAATAGGCTGTGGCCAGGGCGTTTTAACAGGCATTGAGTCAGGGGTCCCCTGCCCCCTACCCCGCCCGCCCTGCATGCTGCATGAGGGTCCAGATCTGCAGGATCTGCACCTGCGGGGACTTCAGAGAGCGCTGGGCCTGGAGGGCGTGGCCTGGAGGCCATCCCGTGGGTCAGCAGGCAAGTCAGGGCTCGGAGCCACCAAACTAGCGTGGCCGAAAGCCTAATCCCCGAGGCTAGCTCAGGGGACCCTCTGGAGGAAGCTGTGGGCTCCAGAGTTTTCTACCCCAAACTTCCGTGACAGCAATTCTCGGCGCTTAGCTGCCCATTGGAACCACCTGAGGGCTCTCAAAACTGCAGGTCCCTCAAGTACCCTGATCACTTAACCCCAACCGTCTGGGCAGAGAAAAAGGAAACTACCACACACACACACACACACACACACAGCCCCAGCCGTTCCAGGCGGACACCCAGGTAGGTCAAAGAAGCTTTCCCGGGGCAGACGTGGGGGTAGGGAGCGTCCTGACAAGAGCCCCACTTGACTGGCAGCTCCCTGCCTTTCCTCTGAGGCGGGGAGCAGAGTGGACACCTGCCCTTCACCTTGGAGCACCGGGTCGCACTGCCCCCAGGAGCGGGACTGAGCCCCTCCTGCCGGAGCCGTGTCTGGAGGGGGTGGGTGCACAGCTGAGCTGGGCCACGCAGCCCCCGGCACAGGCACGCAGGGCAGCCGCGCCTTCTCCTTGCAGGGGACCTAGCACTGTTCTCGGGACCGAGGACTCGCCCTCGGAGTGGAGGCCCCATGGGCTCAGCTCCACCTGGGGCCCTGGAGGTCCCCACAGCGAACCTCTGGGAGCCGCTCTCCAGGCTGTGAGAGCCCGGTGCCCCTGTCACTGCCCCTCCGCAGCCCGCAGGCACGGCGGGGGGCCCACGCGGGCCCAAGGCTGCTCTCCTCAAGGGCTTGGGGCCGGGGCGCGGCATGGAGGACCGGAGTCAGGCGTCCTCCTCCCCTCCCCACATCCTGTCCGCGCTGCAAGCTGCACGAGGGGTCCAGATCTGCAGGGTGTGCACCTGCCCGGCTTCAGAGAACCCTGGGGATCAGACCGGCCGGGGCCTGGGGCCGGGGCCCGGCCTGGAGAGCATGGCCTGGGAGCCCGCCCGGCCCATGCCGACCCGCACTGCCGCTTTGCCAAGGTTAACCTCAGCGGCCGGGCCTGGGAAGATCAGCCAGGAAGGAACAAAGTAGCGGGCGAGCGCCCTCAGGACCCGCCTGGCGAGGGGTGGGTGGGCCCCGGGGGACCCGGGCGGGAAGAGGTCAGTGGGACCAAGGGGGTCATGTCCCCGGCCCCCCTCCCCTCCGCCCAATCAGGAAGGAAAGAAAGGATAGCCCAGGATGTGGGAGCGATGGCATCAGGGCAAACCAGCCTCTCCCACGATGAATATCAGGGCTTCCTGGGAGGGCTGTGCCGGGCGTGGAGCCCACCGCGGGGGAGGGAGGACAGCAGAGATATTACAGAGAGTCCTGCCACTGCCCCTGACCTCCTGAAGGGACCTGGGCCTCACAGAGCCAGAATCCACCCCCCCCACCCCCCCACAGACACACACTACCATCCCTCCAGCCTTGGTCCTGCTGCCTCCTAAAATTTGCTGGGGTGGCCTGGCCTCCGGGCCAGGGGTCAGGAGCCCTCCTGGGCTCTCAGGAGGGACGTCGCGGTGTGTTGCACATGCACATCTTGGCCCAGCGCAGGCCTCCGCTCCCTGCTCTCTGGCCTCCAGCGCCGGGGGCCTGGAGTGGCCTGGCCCGGGCCTCCAGGCAGGGTGGGCTCTCAGAGAGCTGGGCCGATATTGGTTGACTGACTCACCGATTGACCAAGTGTGAGTGCCCAGCCCCCAGCCCAAGAGATGGGGTGTGTCCTGCAGGGCGGAAGCAGGGATTGAGTTTCCGCGGAGGGGGGGGGGGGGGGGGCGGTGGGCAGAGCCTGGCCCCGTGCCAGGCCCAGCACTGCCCACAGGCAGGGCGAAGCTGCCAGGAGTTCCCAGCAGGTAGGTAGGCCCGGCAGGGAGGGGGCACGGGGCACGGCTGGGCCGGGGGGGCTTGGGAGAACGGGAGTGGGTGGTTGGATGGGGGGTGTCTGGTGTGGGGGCACAGGCTCAGGGTGGCCAAGGGGCTGGCAGAACCGGGAGGCGGCGAGGAGCCCAGCGCGTAAGAACGCTGGTCGGGGCGGGGAGACCGTGGCCGGAGTGACTGGCAGGGAGGACAGTAGCCGTTGTACGTGGGTGGGAGGGGGGGGGGGTCTCTCGGTCACCCACAGAATCTAGATATCTGGGGACCCAGGCCTGGCCCTCCTTCCCTCCAGCAGGCAGCACCCTTTCCCCTTCCTTTCACAGGTATCTTAGGAGAAAAAGGGGCACCAGAGGCGACAGTGGGTGGCTGGGAAAGGGGGTGCCAGGAAAGGGGGCGCTGGGGAAGGAAGGGTTTTGGAGAAGGGAGCCCCTGGGTGGGAGGGGAGCCCAGGGGAGAGTAGGGAGCCAGGGGAGAGAGAGCAGGGGAGGGAGGGTGCCTTGTGGGTAGAGGGGACATGGGAGGAGGAGGGGCACTGGGGGTGGCAGAGGGGGATAAGGGGTACCCCAGGAGGAACCGGGCATCTGGGAGAGAAAAGAGGCCGTGGGTGGAGGGGGCCAGCCTCCAGGGAAAAGGGGGCGGGGGGCTTCCAGTCTAGGCAGAGGACATAGGCAGGGTCCCCCGCTCAGGGGAGGTGTTGGAAGGGAGAGCCTTAGGGGGGAGAGGGATATATGTGGGTGCGGGCAGGGACCCCTGATGGAGAAAAGGACCACCTGAGGGAAAAAGGGGACCCCCATCCTTTGAGCATCCCTTCCTCCACCCCCAGAGCCCCGCTGGAAGTACAGGTGGTAGGTACCAAATGGGAGTTTGGCCCCCCAGGCTGGAACTGGATACTGGGGCACCCTCCCAGCCCCGCAGGCATGATGCTGTCCCCACCCAGTGAAACCAGCCCAGTCCCAACGTGCTGGCCACCAGTTTGGCTTCCCTGTCCCACGTGATGCCCACGGTGCCCAGGCCAGCCCGTCTTCCTGTCTGTCTCTCTCCCTGTCGCCGTTTCCCTCTCAAAAGGCCCACAGCTTGGAGCTGGTGCCTGTGCTCTGCACACGGCCTGCTTGTGCCCTGGTCCAGGTCGCTGGTCGCTGCCTCTGCCCCTTCGCCTCTGAATGTCCCTGTGTCTGCCATCCCGTGTTCTGTGGCTTGAGACCCCCTTTCCACAGTCACCGTGTCTGCCGGCCACTCGTGCACAGGCCATCGGCCACAACAGCAGTCCTGGTGCCGTTAGTCCTCACGGTGACCTTCCTTCTGCACCCGCTTCCCCTCGGGGCAGCCCCAGGCAACAGGTTTCATTCATCCAACCGCAAGCTGGGAGCAGGCAGTCAACAAGACAAGCCCCTGGCCTCCGGAATCCCTACTGCCAGCCTATGGGGTCTCCAGAGCGTGTGCCAAGGGGTCCCAGGCTTCAAGCACACCTGCTTTCGCCCCTCTCCCTCCTTCCTTCTCCTTTCTCCCCTCCCCCTCCTACTCTCCCCCTCCCCTCCCAGGGCCCCCCTTGGCCCCCTCTGAGAGGCTGGGTGTTCCCCAGGGTACTGCCAGCTCCCCCGGGCCTGCGCCCTGCCCTCGGGGCTGGCTTCGTTGCACCTGCCAAGCCATGCCTCCGCTTCTGCAACTCTGTATCTCTGCTCCGGCCGCTTCCCCCAGTCACGCAGGGTCACCGGGGCCAAGGGTGTCCCCTCCCGCTGATAAGACCCGGTGGCGCTGGGCGGGGACGTGAGTTCAGCCAGGGCCATCGGATGAGAAGGTCAGAGAGGAGCGGCTTCTGGGTCCGGTGAGCAGAGCGGCAGGAAGAAGATAAGTTGCCGGCGGCAGGATTTAGGTTAGAGGCGGGAAGAGCTCCCACGGATGGAGGAATGAGCAAACCTCGCACGGGGGCTTCGGGAAGAGCAGTGCCGGGAGCCTGGGGTAGTTGAGAGCCACCTGCAGAGACATCACAGGATCCAGAGCCCCGTTCTTCCCCAGGTACCTCTCGTTCCGTGCTTTTCTCCCCCGGAGCCGCAGGGCACACACTCCGGCGGCCGTTTGCAGAGTCTGTGCCTTCAGCTCTGTTTTCAGGGTTAAGAGCGTCTGGGCCTGCTTTGCCTAGCCGGCTCCCGTCTGCGAAGCCTGCGCCCGCCGCTGCCGCCTGTCTGTCCTGAGTTTGCAGAAT